TTTCCTTCAAGATGTTATTTGAGTTTTCCAGAGAAAGCTTGTCCGGAGGAAAATCCTCCAGGACTATAGCAATCTTGGTAGACCCAGTTGCTCAGGCAAAAGAGACCCCAGATTGGAGGCCCCCGGTTGGATCCCCCTCTCCAGCTCTGCTATCCCACTAGGGGGAACCACTCCGCTGGATTGGGCTCTCCTCCCAGGAACAACATCCTCCCTGGGCTTCTTTCCAATTTGGGTTGGCGCATTGGGAGAGGGTGTTGCATCAGAAGACCTAGGTCTCTTAGCTCCTCCACTCGCAGCAATGGCCCTCATTTTTCTTAACTTCTTCTTTTGGCTCTTGGACAGTCCAATGGTACCAGACACACTGTCTCCCGAGTGCCTCTGGGGACCAGAGACTTCTACAGAGGAAGGGCCTGAACCTTTGGACGCCTCACCAGCATCCGAAGCAGACTGCAAAGCAGCGGTATTAGCACTGGGCTCACCCGAGGGCTTACCATATGCTACTGGAGACTGTATTACACTTTTCGAACAGGAACCTCTGCCTAATTCCTGAACGCATCCCTTGTTAACCGGCGCGACGGATGATGCCATATCCAAGGTTTTTCGTTCGCTCATCATGATGTTTGCCTGCCATTTAGTTACCCAGTGAGGGGTATCCAGGGGGCACCACGTGGAGGCGGCAGGCATTACCCCCAACTGTTCCTCTTACACATAGTATAGAAAACACGTATAATTTGTTTCATTGGTGGCGAAAGAATATTGCACTCGTGATCTGGCAAAAGAGATAAGTGTCTTTGGCAGGCAACCCTTTTACTTCGATAGTGATGTAATGTTACATCTGGATTAGGAAACTGTTTACCGTCAAATAGTGATCCAACAGTTCGAAGAAATCGAATCAAATAACTGCGTTTCAGTTACATAAAGGTATAAGTATCCCCTTTCCTGTTTTATAAGAAATGGTGTTTTTTGAAATAGTAGAAAAAGAAACTAATTTAAAATGACTTTTTTTTCAACGTCATTAAATATGTTATCTCTATTTCAGGTGACAATGCTTATAGAATTTGCTTGTGCATTATTTTATCTTTTTCGTCTGTTACATTGTGCTTCATTTCTACCTCTGGAAATTTTCTGTCGTGATAAAAAGAATATTTTAGTTCTCTCTGCTATACTTTTAACAGCTATTGATATGTGCTGTTACATTGCATTAATCAATTCTGGTCATGGTAATATTGCCTACCGTTGGTCAAGACCTTTAAGACCTATCTTCATGGTTAATTTCAGTGAAAGCAAACAGGTAATCATTTTATATTGTTTAGTTTTATATTTTTAACTTTTGTTCTTCCAGAGATCAATATGTTAGCTTCTTTAAAAATCATTATTATAATCATTTGGAGTATTTTTTTAGAAAGGAAGTAATTAAAAAACATAAAGATTAGTTATGTATATTAGTCTAAAAGAATGCTCAATGTTTTTCTTTAATGCCTGTAAAATGTGCAGCTTGACTTATCCCACCTTGCATTCTGGAAATAGGCTTTTTTAAAATTTTTCTTTTTTAATGCTTTATTTTGATTTTGTAGGTGCGAAGAGCATTTCGAAATATTCGAAAAACACTTCCTGATATTTTAAATGTTCTCATTTTGTTTTTTCTGAGTATATCATTGTTTTCCCTCATGGCTCAGAAACTATTTCAGAAAAGGTAAGTTGATAATGCATCTTTTCCAGAAAATAGTTATTAATGCATTGATATTGGTTTTTGTGTCTTGTTATTCATTTGAAAAGTTCTGTATCAACAGTAAAAGCATTCATCCTGTTAGCATACTTTTTTTTTCATAATGTTCTCATTCAAGGATTGTGTGACTCTCTTAGAATCGGGCATCTTACTAAGTTATCATTTGACTTAATAGAAAGATATTGTTTGTAATATAAAATCTTTCTTTTATTTATTTACATAACATAATTGAATTCATATTTTTTAAAACTTTTTTTGTTATTTATAGGAATGTTTTTGTGCAATTATTAAATTAATTCCAAAATAATGCCCACAATTTAAATAAAGAGCTGTAAAATAAATTACAAATTTTATTGTTTCATTGTCGTTTAAAACAGTAAAATACTTAACATGATTATTAAATATTATATTTTAATGAAGTTTCATCTATATTTATGTTTGAATATAATTAATTTTTATGATTACTGGGGTTTGGCGATGTGTCTGGCTGTTGGGATAATGATTTAATGAAAAATATAAAAGTAGTTTTCAAATTACAGGGATGAAAGACTTCCACAAAAAAGCGGAAATCCGCTTTTTTCTCCCAATTTTTTAAATTTCCGACCATGTTCCAAAAACTTAAATTTCTGGGGAGTCCAATAAGAGATACCCTAGCAGCGCGAATGATAGTCAAACTTGAGACGAACCCCCCCTGCAGTAGCCTCCTGACAACCGCGACTTCCGCTATAGATTGAAAAAGAGTTCAAAGCCGTGATATTTGATTTATTTTGTTTGGCTGATTTTCAGAACTTAAAACATCAGGAACTGCGCCGGAACCTGCTAAAATTGCAATTCTTATTCAGAGGTTTTTTATGCAAATCATCGATTTTCGTATTTAACTGATTTAAAAGTTACTTGTTGCAATTCGTTTTTATGCGATTTAAAAACCGTACTCGCAATTCCCATTCACGAAATTTTAAAATCCAATATCGCGATATGTATTTAAGCGTTTTTAAAATCCAATATCACGATTCGTATTCCAAAAATCCAATGTCGCAATTCACATTCACATATTTGTAAAATTCAATATTGCGATTCGTTAACACGCGGTTGTAATATCAAACATCGATTTTCGTATTTATACGCGATTTAATAATTACTCATTGCGATAAGTATTGACAGGATTTAAAAATTATGCATCGCGATTCTTATTCACACGATTTTAAAATCCAACATCTCTATTCTTATTCACGCGATTTTAAAATTCAACATCGCGATTCATATTCACGTGATCTTAAAATTAAACATCGCGATTCATATTCACGCGATCCTAAAATTCAACATCGCGATTTTAAAATCCAACACAGCAATTCTTATTCACGCTATTTTAAAATTCAATATAGCGATTCTTATTCACACGATATTGAAGTCCAACATCGCGATTCTTATTAATGCGATTTTAAAATCCAACATCGCGATTCTTATTAATGCGATTTTAAAATCCAACTTCGCGATTCTTATTTACGCTATTTTAAAATCGAACATCCCGATTCATATTCACACGATTTTAAAATTCCTTATCGCGATTCATATTCGCACGATTTTAAAAGCAATTTAGCAGCTATGAGTAACATGAATGTATTTTAACGTTGGTAGTCAATTTAGAAGGCGAATACAAAGTGTGTGTAGTTAATGCTACCGAAAAAAATAAATTCTAGTTTGATTGGTCAAACAGTCAAAGTGACTAAAATTGTCAGTAACAATCTATCAGAAGATATTAAGGTGAAAGTTGGCGACTGTTTTAATTTAAAATGATTGATCGGTCATTAATTTAATATAATTAAGCTGCAACTTCCTATAATTGCTTAATTTTCTTTACCATAGTAGTGATCAAAATTTTAAAATTATATTAACAAAATTTTTAATTCCACTGTCTAAATGCTTCTGTCACTTTAAATACTAAATAAAAAAAAAGTTGCTTTTATATATATCTCCTCAATATCACAGTATTGTATAGAAAAATCCCCCCCCCTCTCCTCCTGAGTTATAAAAGCTCAGTTTTTTTTTCTGACCACTTTCATGCCTGAAATTAAAATGATGAGTGCTGAAAATGAATATTGAATCAAGAATGAATAGAGATAACTGGTTAATATAAAAAGTGCGAATACGAAAGGGAGTGAAATATGTAGGTTACCAGCTGATAGTAATCAGATATGTGATGTTCATGTAAATTTACATTTGCTTCATCACTATTACCAGCAATGAAATATTTCTGGTACTTCTTGCTGCGCTGAATTGTTTTGGAAATATTTTTTTCTCTATTTTCTTTGCACCACATTTAAGAACAATTTCATTACCTTATTAAAAATATGTTCATATGCTTTTAGAAAGCTATGACCTGAGTGGAGCGTGCTTTTAAAATGTATATTCTATCAAAAAATATTTTAAAAATATCATATATAGGCAGAAGTTAAGAGATAAATAATTTTAATTATTCTTTAAAATTCTCCTTATTGGGAAACTCAGGAGAACAATGAGCTCTCAATTTTTTATGAACATGAGTTAATTTTGTGTTTTGTAATTTGCTTTAAAAATAAGCTAGGCTCTGAAAATTTTTGTAATGCAATTATTCCCTCAAAAGTTATGCATATTTAGTGCCATAGCAGTTTACTTTTTAGAACTACTACATTCATTGGCACTGTTTTTGTTCCGATCCTTATATGTTAATTTTTTTATGCAATTTTTATCTCTTTCAGGAACTTAAAATATCCTGATGGTCAACCTTATTTTACCAATTACCTTGATATATACTTTAAACTATATGTTCTTGTTACAACAGCTAATAATCCTGACATTATGTGAGTATTTTTTTATCGTTGTGTTTCAATATTTTATTATGTACAGTTAATGTGTGACTATCCAGAATTCCACTAATCAAGCTTGTGATGACCAGAAAAAAAAATTCTGGCATTCCAAATTTTTTTTAAATTTAAAATTTTTTACCAAAAATTAATCAAAACATTCAAACTATATCTTTTTTGATATAGAATAGTTCAAAATAGATTTTTTTTACTATGGATGATCAATTTTTATGGAAAAGGTTTATTCACTATTGCCTAACTGAGAATAAAATTCTTATTAACATTTGAAAGAAAAGTAATTTACTATTGATGCCTAACTACTAATAACATCAAGCTGATTATTGATAACATAATTAATTCTCTGTTTTATACTGTAAGGAGTATATGAAGCATTGTACCTTTGTTCTTTTCCTACCCTATTATTATTTTTTTTATGTTCTTAACTAACTTAAAAATGAAAGAAAAGTAATATACTTTTAATTTGAAGATGGTATAATTTTGAAGAGGCAAAGATAAAAAATTTATTTTTAATGTTAGAGAAAATGTTGATCTTTCTTATGAACTTTTGTATAGATTTTATTATACTCTAGTCAGTTTCTACTGATGCCAGACATGGCAATATACACTGGAGAAGAGAAAAGTTTAGGAAAAGATTTTCTATAGTGACAATACAGAAAATATTTTGCAAAGAATTTGCAAATCTTCATAATATGCAGAACTATTAAATGTGTCATCATAAAATATTTTATAATATTTCAATGGAATAATGAGTATTATCAAAATTCTGTATTTTGCTGTATAGTGTAATGAAAATGTTCTTAGTTTTGGCTTGAGATATAACAACTTGCTCCAATCTTGCAATGAGAATAAATTTTAGAAACATGTGTTTTATATTTTCCTCTGTTAATTTCCAGCACTGAATCATTTAGTTAAAATGAGTGTGGGCAATAAGGTTCTCGCCTAAATTTAATAATTTCTGTAGATTGCCATCCTCTTGCAATTATAATCAGAAGAGTTATTAAAAGTAACAGTTGAACTTTGTTAATACTCAATATGTTTAAATGCATTTGTATCCATATACATTTACAGTCAAACCTAGTTTATGTGAACTTGAAGATCTTAAAATATTTTCACATTACCAGTTCAGGCGTTCAATAATTTTTATTTTACAAAATCTTAAAATATATAGACATTTTGCTTTAATTTTATGTATTATTCATTTTCCATGAATAAATTTCAATTGTAAATGTTTATGTTTAAGGATAGGGGCAAATAGATGACAAATGATGTTTTTTTCTTTCAGGAAAAAATTCTGAATCTTAACTATTGAATTTGATCTAATGAAACTTTTGATGCCTTTTATATACATTCCTTAGATTAATGTAAATTCCACAGTTTGACCAGATAACTAAAATTTTAAACTTCATATTTTTACGAAAACAAGTTATCATTTTCGAGATGAAAAACTGTAGATATAGAAATAATAACTTTTAACTTATTAATCTCAGTTTTCAATAAGCTATAGGCTGTTAAATAAAGGGCTATATTATTAGAAATTTTTAACCACAAAAAAATTCCCAAGATGCACTTTTAATACTTAACACCAGACACCAAACTACATAATTAGTTTTACTGTGCCACATAATAAAATTAATTCTAATAAATTTAATAAAGTTTTAACATAATAAAATTAATTTTTCTGTTTAAAGCAAGAGACTAATTCTCATTTGTATAGTCTATTTTGATTTAACTACTCGAACTCGGATCTGGTTTTTTTCTCACTACCTTATACTAGGTACCCTGACCTCTGGCCAATATTCATTAGTTTCATAAAGCTTTTCATGAAAGCAAATTTGCCCCTTATTTGTTGCTTGATCTAGGAGTTAACTAAATCTCTTGTACTGTTAAAAATTCTAGATCAAATTATGATAAATACTGGCAAACAGGCAGCATCCCTAAAATTTATTTTACCTTATTTTTTTCCTTAAAATTTTACAGTGAAAATGGATTTTGCAATTAAAAGTATTGGTACTCAGTACCTTTGACTGCAATTTGATCATTAGTTTTTTACAGCGTGAGGGCTCAAAATTACTGACTACAAAGATTGAATAGTCAGAGAGCTTTTGCATATAGTTTGTCTTACTCTAACCGTAAAAACTTTATTTTTTACCTCTTAGCTCAGGGTTGGGCAACTACGGCCCGCGGGCCAACTGTGGCCCGCCGGAAGGTTTTATCCGGCCCGCGGATAGATTTTTAATTTGCCGATCAGTGGCAAAATTAAAATTATTTCTGTTTTTACTTTTTTAACAAAGTACTGATGACCTTTTTACTTTCTCTATTTTTGTTCTGCAAAACATAAATTGATGGAAATAGTTTGCACAGACAGCTTCAACTGGTAAAATGTTGAAAGCAAAAGTTCTTTATAGAATAGCCGTAGATTGAGCTCCAACTAGCGTTTGTCTTTCTCGAGGAATCTGATATAGGTAAATTGTACTTCACATTTGGCAGACTGCGCATTTTAAGATCCAACGAGCGGACAATCTAACAATCATCTGAAGCAGTTGTTTCTAAATATGCTAAAGTTTTTCAAATCATTACCAAAAGCTAGTTTCCAAAATTTAATACTTCATGCCCAGAAGATCAGCGCTATGTTTGCTTAATCTTATATATGTGAACAAGAGTTTTCAACTCTGAACCTTAGAAAAACTCATTTCAGAAGTGGACTAACAGAAAAGCATTTAGCCATGTTCCTTAAAATGAGCACATCTCACTTCGAACCTTAATATAAGGAACTTTTAAAAATGAAATCGCAATTTCATTCATCTCACTAAATATCTATCTATATTATATAAAACGCTAATACGTATGTATCAATAAAACCGATGATATTTCTTTTCTCGCGTTGGCAACAGTTTTCATTTTTAATTGATAGGCTTCGGTGCGCAAGAGCACTTAGTGAGCATCATATGGCTAATCCATATTATATAAAACGCTAATACCTTTTAATTGATAGGCTTAGGCGCGCAAGAGCACGTAGTGAGCATATCATATGTCTAATCGGGTGAATTCACATCCGGCGTTCAGTACTATTTCATATTGTTTTACAACACATGGTTTTAGCTCTCAGGTGGGAAAGACATTAAAACAAAACTTACAAAAGTTACTTTTCTCAACAACTGAAATTTAGAATAGTGTGATTAAGAAAAATATGTAAACTGTTTGCAATTTTAAATTATTATTGAAATGCACGGGTTTAGAATTTTCTACAGTTAACGTTTTCAGAACTTCAGTGTTCAAAAAAGTATACAAAAGCTAGAGGTTAAGAACGGATCCGATGCGCAAGCAAAGCGAGCATCGGATTGCAAAGCAATCCGAAATGAACTGCTAACGCAGTTTCGGGGGTTGGTGAGCGCCAAAGAGCAGGGGGCGGAGCCTCCTAGTATTATATAAAACGCTTATAAATATGTATCAATAAAATCGATGATATTTCGTTTCTCGCATTGGCAACAGTTTTCATTTTTAATTGAGAGGATTCGGCGCGCAAGAGCACGTAGTGATCATCATATGGCTAATCTATATTATATAAAACTCGAATACGTTTTAATTGATAGGCTTCGGCGCGCAAGAGCACGTAGTGTGCATCATATGTCTAATCGGGTGAATTCTCACCGAATTATCAAAAAAATTCTCACAAAATTATCTTCATCGAAGCCGATGCTTTACATCCGGCGTTCAGTACTATTTCATATTGTTTTACAACACATGGTTTTAGCCCTCTGGTGGGAAAGACTTTAAAACAAAACTTACAACAGTTACTTTTCTCAACAACTGAAATTTAGAATAGTGTGATTAAGAAAAATATGTGAACTGTTTGCAATTTCAAATTAATATTGAAATGCAAAATTCCCTTCAATTCTACAGTGAAAAGTTTTCGGAACTTCAGTGTTCAAAAAAGTATACAAAAGCTAGACGTTAAGAACGTATCCAATAAGCGAGAAAAGCAAGCAATCGGATTGCTTCGCAATCCGAAATGAACTGCAAAAGCAGTTCTGGGGGTTGGCGAGTGCCACCGAGCAGGGTGCGAAGCCTCCTAGTTTAAATTAAAATTTGTATATCGCTTTTTTTTAAATTTTGAAAGTTTTATTTGGCCCACCAAAAAATTTTTTTCTCGATTTTTGGCCCTCGACCAAAAAAGTTTACCCATCTCTGTCTTAGCTGTACTGCACGTGTTCAGAAATAACATTTTGCATCTACTTTAGAGCATAGGAATATTAGTTTTAGCTTTGAATGCTAATGTTCTGTTAATGCTCTGTTCTGATCACTATATTTGTGCATAAAATAGGTTGTTTAAAACAAAATTATTTAAAAATAATGATGTGTACAATAAACTTGGAAGAAATTTTTTTTATAAGCATTTAAAGGAAATCTTTAATCATAATTGTATAGAAATAAATTAAATTTACCTCAAATGCGACATCACGCAGCTGTGAGTAGGTAAGCATTATGACTTGATTCCAGTTATTAAGGAATTTAGTTACGGCGACCCAGGCAAATATGCCCATACGCCAAATGTAGGATGCCTCGTCATCGACTTGAAATCCAGCTCGGCACGAGGGCCCAGCAATATGCGGACACCGGGCAAGGCCCCGAGTCGTGCAAGAATTGGAGCACCATAGTCGCGATCGAGAGCAAAGGATGCCCGACTGGTCCAAAACCTGAAGAGCGGCAGTGCCAAACCCTCCGCAGACGGAACCAAAATTGGGTCGACAGCAGGAAGACCGTCGCCATCGAGGGCCCTAGGCCTGGAAAGTCTCAAACCCTTTACTTTATTTACAAAAACACAAAAAGTATTAAATCAAAGTATTACAAAGCAAAAAATCAAAATCGTAGCAGATTGAAAGTCAATGGTTTTCTTGAGTCTCTGAATTGCTCTTTTCTGTGACGTGCAGTTTCTGCTTAAAGCCCTATGGTCAGTTCTCAGGTTGGAGCCGTACCTTTTATTCGTCTCGTGACAATTCACGCACTTTGGTTTGCTTTTGCATGATGCCGCACGATGGCCTGCTTCATCGCATTTTGAGCACGTTTCTGTGTGGCCGCAGTCTTTTGCCATGTGTCCGAGCCTGTTGCAACTATAGCATCGGAGCGGTCTTAGGTATTCCTTAGTACGGTAGCACTTCCATCCTACATAGACTCCTTCTTTTTCGAGGGTCTCCTTAAAGTACTTTGCCTCCATTGCAACGACCCAGTGGACACCTTTTTCGGCTTTGATTGGAAATTCGACTTCAAAGTCGCCGTCATGAATGTCGTAATTATTTGCACTCAGGCATCTGGAGAGGCTTTCTTTGGTGGTCCCCTCTGGTAGCTCGAAAATTATGATTCTCGGCTTTCGCCTTTTGGGCACTTCACAGCTTGCCAAGGTCTGCTTCTATTTTCTCTTTCAAGATTGCCACGTCTTGTCGGGTCTCTAATTCGACCATTAATTCGCCTTTTTGCGTTTTCTTGAGCTCTTTGACCTTTAGTTCAATTTCGTTGGAATCAATTTTTTCCTTCAAAGCCTCTTCCATTACCTCTGGAGTTGAGTTCTCCTTTGACTTGATCATTAAGACATGTCTCTTAGCATTTTTAGAGTTATGTGCCTCACGACCCATTCTAATTGCTTTGGCAAATGTTTTCTCCTTCCTTCGATTGCTCTGCTCAATCATTTCCGTCAACGCTCTTTTGGCCTCGATTTGGGCACCCTTAGTGTACGAAAGAAGTTCGTTTTGATTTGACATACTTTGGACGAACTCTTGAGTGACGCTCATTATTTTTAAGACTGCAGCCACTGTGAGGGATTTTCCTTTTAATTCAGTCAGAGTCCTACTCATTTTCTGTACTAGACATTGCGCCGTTGTCGACCACTCATTCTGTTTTTCTTTAAAAGATGACACGAAACCCTCAGGCGGGCCAAAATCGTCTTCATCCGAGTTCTCGATCATTTTCTCAATCAATCGGCTCTATTCTTTTACTTTCGCCTTCTTGTCCACTGTCCCCTCTGTCTGGGTTAGCCATCCAAGGACGTTACTCCCTCGCCCCACGAAGAGGTGCAGAGCAGGAAATAATGCTGATTTGATGTTATTTGGTGGACCGTTTAAGAGTTCGACGCGGGGAATAGACTCTAGGCCTTGTTCCACCGCGAGTATTCAAACAGAAATACTTTATTAGCTTCTTTTGAACTCTAAGGGACGCGAGGGGATTCCAGTTATTAAAAAGGCTTTCATGAAATCCGTGTGTCTTTAAAAAGAAATATGAATTTTGAAAATAATTAGAATCATTTAAAAGGAAATAAAGTGAAAAGATATCCAAGTATTTAAAAGTTTAGAAATGGTTATAAAAGTATAAATTCACTGAAATATACATATATAAATGTATATATTTATTCGAATGGTATACTGCTGTGCAATAGAAAAGTCAAACTTAAGCAACAAAAAAAATTAATATTGAGATTTTTATATATTTGGTATTTTTGTATGATAAGCTACTTATTATTAAAAAAAATTTCAAAAATTAATTTTTTTATCAGTTTTTTGAAATTCTAATTTAGTGTTAAAACAATAGGAAGAAACTAGTTGTCAAACCATTTTTCTCGGCAACTCTAGTGAAGCCCTTGCATTGTTTTTTCAACTGCATGGCATTTTAAATGTGTATTCTTTTTTTTAAAAAATTTAGAAAATTATTTCTTTTGCTGACTAAGTCAAATTTTTTGAGTGTTCTGTCATTTGAGTTCTGAAGTCAAATACTTTGGTATTATTTAGAAGATTTAAATGCAAAAGTAAAGAGTATATGAAAAAAAAAATGTTTCAGTAAATATATTTACTCATAAATTTTGTTGATTCATTCTAATGATCTTTTAAGTTATATCTTTTTAAATTAGAAAACTGTTAAAAAAAATTTTTTTTCTCATTTATCAATTAAGTAAAATAATATTTTTTGAATTTGGTTTATTATTTTTGTTAATTGTAATTTTAAATGTTAACATAGTGTTTTTAAAGTTTTTTTGTTTGTTATAATTTGACTGCTCGAAATTTTCCTTTACATGTTTTGAAAAGTTTTTTTAATTTTATGTGAAAATAGAGTGAGAATAATGTATTAGCATTTTTGAGTAATTAATAACATTAAAAAAAAAAGATGTGAAGATATTTTTGCTGAATTAAGTTTAATTTTATTCTCCATAGAATTTTTTTAAAAATAATTGATTAAGTTTTATGTCTATCTTTGAGATAAACTATGTATAAATTGTAGATAGAAATCCAAAATATCTGATTAATTAAACTGCTAACAAATACTTTCTTGCCAAGTTTCAAAATTAGCAAATTGCTTGAGATAATTAAATGGAAGTAGAAATGTTATAGTATCTGTCAAATGAATTTGAAGTCAACTACTGTGCTCTTATGAAAACATTTTGACAATGTAATATAAATTAAAATTTTAGGTTTAGTACTTTAAGTGTAGTAAAATAAATAAAATTGGAGAGAAGGAAAAGATATGATTCTAAACTTTAGAGAAAAGTATATGATAAATTTATGTATACACATAAAATTTAAAAAGTTTTTTTAATTATTTTAATTGAAATTTATCAAAGAACAATTTGAAATATAACTTGAAGTATTATTTTTTCTATATAAAATAAGATTAATTTCTTATGGAACAAAAAAAATGTACTTCTTGTTTTAGGTAATTAAATATTTAAAAGCTTTGGTTTTAGATGTTTCAAAATCCCTCAAATTTGGAGGGGATAAAAACTTTTTAGCAAAATCCTTGATCCTTGATTAACGATAATTAGCCTTATTGTATTTAGGAAATTTTTCTTTGTTTTAATTTTATTGACTAGTGTTATTTATTATGATTTATTTACTAGTAATTTCTTCATAGGATGCCAGCATATGATTCCAACAGATGGTTTGCATTGTTTTTCATCGCCTACCTTATCATTTGTCTTTACATTTTTATGAATATTTTCTTGGCTGTTGTTTATAACAATTATCGAAAACATTTAAAAGTAAGTCGATGAGTTCAATTATGAAAATTTAGAATTGTCAAATTGTGATCATTAGCTTTGATTTTATATAGTAATGGAAATAAGCTTAAAAGTGTCTGCTAATTCTGAAAATTAGATTAATTTTAAAATATGTTTAAAAAATTACATTTATATACTTTCACATTTATATACTTTATAGTTAAAATAATTTAAAAAATGAATGCAATGCGTATGGTGTTATGTTATAAATTTTTTTTTTAAATTTTCCTTTTAGTTAACCACAAAGTGGAGATAGAAATTGGTTAATTTCTGCCATAATTGGTTTGAGTACAGTTTTAAACTTCAAAACTGATATATCTTCTTTTTTCTCAGGATTTTAAAAAAATGCATGTTTCTTTTTTATTTTTATAATAAAAAAAAAGGAAACCAAATCATTGGGTTTTATTTCATTATGAAACAACAGCTCAGGCATTGTTTCTAATGGGATAGTTATTTTTCTTTTTCTTCCTCACCTGTAAGTTGACCACTTTATTTATTAAATAGATTCTCCAGAATTTCATTACCACCTTTTTGTCTTCAGTGACTTTTTTTTATATATATTTCCAGATCAATACTATTGTAAAGAACCTTAAGTTTAAAGCAAATGTCAAGAATTTAGGAGCAGGATAGTATTCTTACATTCTCCTTCTGCAAACAACTGTTCTAGAAATCTGCCGCTAAAGATTGTTAGATAATTTTTGCTACTAAAGAAAGATTCCCCCTACCTTTTCCTCTTTTGCTGAGGGTTATAGTGTAGAAAGGAAAAAAAAAACAGTGGAAAAGATGTCTTCTGAAAAAGAGAAATGTCTTGGAATTCTTTAGATCAGCTTTTCTTCAGATTAAATGGTCTTCATGGTCACATTTATCCAAATTTTCAGTTGAAGATCAACTTTATTGCTTTTATTCTTGGAATTTTTTGATATCAGAATCTAAAGATATTTGAGTAATCTTGCAACATGGTTTGTATGTGAATAGTGAGTGAATGAATGAGTGAGTGAATGAAATACATGATCTGGTATTACAATTTTGGAATAATAATTTTTTTAAGTTTATTGCTGATTTAATGTAAGATGATTTTTATTATTTATTCTATTCTTATATTTTTTTAAAAATTCTTTTTAAGCTGTTTAATTAGTTTGTTAGGATAATTAGGATATCTTTAATAAGAAATGCAATATTGTGCAGAGAATTAGTTTCCTTCTGGTTAGCATTTTTATTTTATTTTATAACTGTCGTTGAACAGCCGACCCAAGTTCATGGGTTTACGACTACTAACGTTCAACTCCGTAGCCTTGTAATTTTGAACCAATCCAGAAGACAAGGAAACTCCTGGATCAGTACCCCCAGAGGTATTGATTTGTTGTGGGAACATGGAGGACTTTGAGACTCGACAGATTTAACGTGCATCAGTCACCATTTACTACACGGGGAGTCTTCGGCCGGCGAGGATCGAACCTACGACCTCTTGGATATGGGCCCAGCGCCCTACCGACCAGGCTATCCCGGCCCTCTGGTTAGCATTTGCACATAAAGCTAATGCAAATCTTAGAAATCAGTTTTCTGCACCTCTGTATACCTCTCCTTTTCTTCTTGCTCTCCCAGTATATGGCCAGCCTTAATATTCGTTATTCTATTATAAAATAACTAGCTCTGCCTTATTTCCTCACAAAGTGTTACATTTAATGTATGAATAATATGTATGCATTCAATTTTTTTTTCAGAATGAAGTTCAGAAGCTAGTTTACATGAAAAGAAGAAGCTTGACTAGAGCTTTTAATTTATTAAAAATTAAGAAGGGCAATACTTCTATGGTTGATTTTAAGAGATTTAATGTTCTACTCAAAATGATTCCTCCCTTTCGTAGTACAATGCTGGTCAATATTCTTTGGTATGTGTTAGATACCAATGGTGATAATGCAATTGGTGAGCCGTTAAATATTTCTATTTTAGTTTATTAGTAATTTATAGAAATTGTTTTGATTTCACCCACTGGCAATTTGGAAAATGGGCAATATTGGCAGAATGTTTCTCCGCTACACACTCTTTCCCTATCTAAAACTTGGAAACACCAGTTTTGCTATGCGTGAAGACTGGAGGTCAAAATACAATTATTTACATGCAGAACTGTTAGTGGGCAAAAATATTTTTTTACGATGGTCATATTTGCATTTTTGTCACTCTCTGAATTTTTTTATGTATGTCCAAGCATGAAAAAAAAAACTTCTATTTCCAAACTTTAGATTACTCTTATCAAAATTAATAAAAACCAACAAAATGAAATCTAGATTATTACATTGTTTAAGTATGACATGAAATGCTAGCTTTTTCATATTGATGTATTATGAGATCATTAATATTTTGTGAAGTTATCAGTTTTGCCAATTTATCTGAGATTTTTATGTTTACTTAGCTGAATTTAAGACCAAACTTATTTTAATGTATGTAGTTAATATGATTTTTGTAAGGTAAGGTCCGTTTGTTGAAGAGAATGAGTTGATGATTGAAAAATAATCATAATATTGATAATTTTGCCTGTTTGAAAATGCTCTACTACTTGTAAAGTAGTATTTTAAAAGGTTAACAGTATTTGTACGAAATAATCAATAGTCATGCCAAAAAAGATTCATATAAAGTTTTTCTATTACCTCAAGAGGTACACAAGAATGTTTAACTTGATGTTTTTGTGAAGTGTATTATGCCTCCCTTGGGATGGATGTTTCCTTGGATGAGATATATTTCAACTAAACTTTTCATTTTCCTATCTCTTAATTTATACAGACTGCTCGGTTGATTGTAAAATGGGGAAAGATACAAAATCTATAAGCATAATATGTGCTAATTAGTAATTCAACAGATTTGTATTATGTTATAGAATTGTTTTTTTTCTTGGATATTAATTTTTTCCCTTATCTGTTTATTTTTTCTATTCTAAAATGTATATACATTAAGGGCAGTGATTGTAGAACACCCTGTATATCTGATTTTTTATTTAGAAACTTTATATAAAGAATAATGATGCCTTATTCTAAATCTTAACTTACTAGTCTCGCCATTCAGTGGTTTAATGTAGTGCATAACCTCAGGCAAAGGCAAAAAAAGGAAAAGAGAATTATTTGAAAATAGAGACATTTAAAAAAGTTTACATCATCTTTTTTTTTTTTTTACCTTGCCTAAGGTTTAATAAAATTATAGTGAATGATTTTTTTTTATTGAAGCTTTATAGTTATTATTAACAATAACATAGCATTAAGAAATTTATAGCATTTATGAGATTTTTTTTTCTTAGAAAAAGCTGATTTCCTTAAACTGGCTGATTTATTGAATGTTGAGGTTACAGAGATGAAAGACAGGCGTAGCATATTTGACTATATTGCTCCTGGTTGTTACCAAAGTAACATTTCTCGGATGTTCAGATTGGCTGTTGCTCATAGGTAACTGCTAATCATTTTTGAAAAATGACTTGTGTTTTATAGAAGTTCAATGAATATATTTTTGTTACAAACTTTTGCTATTTATGTAAATTGAAGAAAGTTTTCTTGTTATTGATCGTATTGAGGTTAACATGTTTTGCACCAAAAAAATTCTCTATTTTCAACAGTACATATGGTTTAGTTTAGAGTAATATTCACTGCCTTGTACATTCCATGTTTTCAAGAAAAATATTTTGGAGTAAAACCAAAGATTAATTGTTGACAAAAGATGATTTCTTTGATTTTTATTGAGCTTAGTTCAAATATCTGTTGCTTTTCCTCTTGGACAAAACTGTTCATTTTTAAAAAGTGCCACTTCTTTTAAAACTTATTTAAACTTATTTAAAATCAATATTATAAAGTTTAACTGGAAAAAAAATTAAAATAATTTCGTTTAGTGTATTTAATAAAATGTACATAGCTTTTAATTAGTTTTTGAGAAAATGAGCATGACTTAAAATGCTTCAATGTTAATGAACCTATATTATAATTGTTAAACCAGTCGGGAATTTTGTCTGCTCTTTGAAACACAACATAATTATTATGGAGCAATGTCCCAGACTTCAGGATTGGATTGGCAGAGTCTATTGCAGATGCAACTTTTCAAATGCTCTCACTGAGTTACAAAATAAGAGCAAATCAGTGTTGTTGTTTTTTTTAAATCTTTATTTTCTCAAAACATATTTTTCAAGCTGGAAAAATCACTACCAAGAAATATAAACATCTTCAGGATCTGAAAAAGTTCTTGCCTCTTTACTGCAGTGCATTTTATGATAAATTTGACCCCCCCCCCCCCNTTTGCCCCCCCCCCCCCATAGATAAAAAATCTGAAAACTTTGCTTCCAAATTTTTCTCGTTTTTGTCTTTATAAAGTTTTTGCTTAACTTATTACATAAGTGTAAGTTTTTCTCAAAATTAGGAAATTTTGACTATATATATATATCAATGTATGGAATGAAAAGATGTCAGTTCTTGTTTCTACACCATTTGGAAAATAAAATATTTACAAAAAAAGCATCAATTAGGGAATTAAAGAAACAAATATACCACACTGATTCAATTATTTTCAAGTTACAAATTTGAATTTGTTGCCGCATTTGTAGATACAGGGATGAGATTCTTCCGCGGATTCGCGGATTTCCGCTTTTTCTCAGATTTTTCCATTTTTTCCGCTAATTTCCGCTGAAATTGTTACTTGCACAAGTTAAAATATTTTATGAGGAATTTAATTTTGCACGGAGCGAAATTATTGAAGTCCTCATTCCTCCATCTGAAGTTTCTCTAAAAATCATTTCCTTGGGATAAAACTGGTTGACCTTTATACAGGGATGAGATTTTTTTCGCTTTTGTCTCTCGAATTTCAGCCTTTTTATCAAAAACTCAGATTCTCTAAAAGTTTCGTTTTTTTTATTTATTTATAAATATCCCATTTTTTTTTAAAAAAATATTCAGTCGTTGAAGTCAAATAATTATATTTGTTTACGATTTTCAACGAAAAACAGAAAATTCAAACTACGTCCTAGCTGCTAACCCTTCCGCATGTTTACTTATATTAGCTATTTTCTCCGATTTCACGCACAGAAAATAAGATTTTCCGATTTTTTTATCCGTCAGCGGGATAGCTCGTATTTTCGTAATTTAGACGTCGCTGCTTCTTGTATTCTGGAGTGAAAGCAAACAAAAAAAGCGAAAAAAAANATGTAGCGATTTGTATTCGCGCGAGCTTAAAATCCAATGTCGTGATTCGTTTTTGTGGTTGTAATATCAAACATCAATTTCGTATTTATGTGTGCTTTAAAAATTAGACATTGGGATTCGGATTTGAGCGATTTAAAAATTATGCAACGTGATTCGAATTTGATCTAAAAATTACGCATCATGGTTTTTATTTTTGCATTTTTTAAATTGGATATAGAGTTTCATATTCACGTGATTTAAAAGCCTCACATCGGGATTCATATTCTCTCAGTTTAAAATCATGCATGTGATTCATACTCATATAATTTTAAAATTAATCAACGGGATTTATAATCACATGGTTTACAAGTTTAAAAATCACACACACACAAATATATATTTATATATTCTTGGATTTCCTCTTTTTTACTTTCTGACTACTCTCATCCCTGAGATATCATATAGTCTAATAAAAATTAATAGTTAAATTATAAGGAAAAGAATAATTTTTATTTATAAATAATTATCTTTTGATAAATTCATGGTGATCATGGAATTCACACGCGGACCTGACAAAGAAAATGGCCATATAGACCTCACAGAGCACACACCATTTATCATGATAATTGAACTTTTAAATGCAGATAAGCCATAGGCTATATACTGAAAGTAATTGTACAGGGTGTTAATTCTTACCGTGTTAATAATTTGGATGATGTTTCAAATAAATTTGAGAAACCATTAATTCTATAGCTACGTTGATCTTTTTTTCCCTATTAATTAAAAGCATTTTGCTCCAGATGAATTCACCTCTACACTTCTAGTGCTGTCATAAAACACGTTAATGTTATAGATACTATTCTTTTTAATTGAATTAAAGTTCATAATTCTTGTTGTCATGTTTATTTAAAGAAATATTTTTGCAGATATTTTCGCTATTTGTTTGATTTGATGATTCTTTTGAATGCTTTTTTGATTGCCTTTGATATAAGTGATGCTGAATGGTTCTTCTTAGGTCTTTTTACTGCTGAGATTTTTGCAAAAATGTATACATTTGGAGTTGTACATTTTTTTCGTAGATTTTGGAATATGTAAGTAAAAGTTCAATCAGTAATGTGTTTATTAGTTTTATCAGGTTTAATTGATTATTTAATCTACCTACTTTAAAAAAAATAGTAGATGTTCGGGGTTGACTCTTTTCCTGGGTAAAGGAAAACTTGGAATTCTCAGGGAATTTGAAATTTTTCTGGAAAACCTTGAATGTTTATAAAACAATCAATCTTGGGAATTCTTGGAGGTTTAGCATTGTAATGATCTCCTACAACCAAACTGCCTATATGCTTCAACCTGTTATAAGACATTAAGACTGTTTTATAAAGCCAATCATGTCTCATTTAAACTCATCCACTGGTTATTTAGTTTATTTTACTTGTCATCAGCAGGTTTGTGTAGTAGGGTGTCACCATTGACGACCAATACATTTTGAGTGGCGACCATATTTGTAGCTTTTCAATTATGATATGACATTTTTTTATTATTTATGTAAAAAAGCATCCAGAGAATGTCTGAGAATTGAATTCAAACAATATTTTTTTTAGCACTTGTGTTTTCTGCAATCATTACAGGAAAATTCTATGTATTCATATCCTTGCATTGTCACATTCCTCTAATTTCTGATTCCTAGTTTTGTAATATTGTATTAAACAAAATATAAAATTTTAAAAAAAATCCTGTATAAATCCATAATAATTACTGCATCATTATCAAAACCACAGGAATTTATGAGGAAATCAGTGCAAAATTGATGTAACGTGGTTGAAAATCAAAAGTTTATTGCTCATGTGTGTGATAAGAGATTTATGAGCCATCATAGTCACATTTTAAAAACATGAGGGTTTTTAAGATCATTTACATCATTACTGTAGAAAAGGATATCATAACACATAAATTTTTCTGATATCGTTCACGACTAAATGAGCACATATCAAACTGGATTTTAAAAACTTAGAAATCCATTGGTGTGTAACTCTCTAAAAAAAGTGGTTTGAAAGAAATAAAAAATGTGAATTCATTATGAAATTGGCATAAATTGAAGAAAAAAAAGTTATCAAATGACAGATTCAAAATTCACTAGTCCAAATGATATCCTATTAAAAACATCAGATTTTTAGAAAACTATGTAGAAATTAGTGATAGTAATTGCTGAAAAACCAAATAGATTTAGGATAAAATTAAAACATGTTCAATAAAATTGAATTTTAGTAAAATTATTAAAAAAAATATATGTGTTATTTGCAACAGTTGTGTAATTTTGTAAGAGGTTCGTTATTTCTGAATTTTCCTTCCAAATTCTTCGGGTTTCCCGGACACCTAAGTTGTGACCCAATTTATAAATTTGCTTGAAAAAGACCTAGCTATAATGAACCTCATTATGCATAATTGCAGATTCTTAGATAATAACCATGTATAATTGTAAAAACAAGAACTTAACACTTTGAAATAACACATGGATTATAATTATTTTGATATTTCTTTAAAAAAAATTTATTATGTTGTAATAAGTATTTTATTCTTTTGTAATGAGACATAATTGTTTTAAACTTGTCCCTACTAGTCATAATTCTGCTCATAAGTGGATTTAATTTTTGTCATCTAGTTTGATGTCATTATTTGCTATGCTTTAGCATGTCAGCAATAGTCCCGATGATTAAACGGATAAACTTTTGAAAGGATTGTTTTTTAAAGTATCTCGTGCTTTTATATTAATGTTTTCTCTAATATTAATATCTTTATCATTTAAGCTATCTCAACAATTTTGTCAGTGTTTTAAAGCAGGGGCAACTGATACTTAATCATATACCACAAGAACTATGTTTTCTTTCTTTTTTTTATTTTATAGAAAGTCAATGTTTAAAACTATTAAATGTTTCCTTCTTTCACTCATTCCTTCATTTATTTTAGAAAGCTAACTATAATAGCTATTACATACCTAAAATGTTTTATGTATGTTGCCTATAAAATTTTAATTTCTTTCAGTTTTGACATTTTAGTTATTGGTGGTGCAATAATTGGAACTTCTATTGAGAGTTTTATGGATGCAACTGGTAAATACTTTTTTCAACTTTGTTTCACTTATTTGAGTCACCATTTGTTTAAGTTAATGTATTCTAAAACTAAAAATTGTCAGGGAATTAAAAAAAAAAAAAAACTTCCATTGACAAGGAGCCAATGGAAAAATTTTAGTTTTATTGTAATTTTAGTGTAACATTTGTTTTCGGAGTGATTTTCTAGGAATAAAAAAAAAATTAAAATTTTGCTTGCTATATTGGAATAACATCCTAATGTAGGGGGTGCACAACCTTTTTTAGTGAAGGGTGAATTGAATGTAGAATTGCTTGCATCAAAATGTGATGACTCTAATGTGTGATTCAAAATTTTAGAAATTTTAAAAAAAAAAAGAAAAAAAAACGTTCAGAAACTCCTGCGGACCATAGGTTGTGCACCCCTACTCTAATGGTTGTTATTATGACATGGTATGGTGCCTATGGAGCTGCAAATGTTTCTTCATGTATCAGTTATAATGGAAGGGTCATACTAAAGAGCATAGATTGTATTTGAATTTTTTTAACAAGCGTTTGAATAACAAAAAGGGCATGTTAATGAGGTTCAAGAACATGCGAGATTAAAGGTGAATTTAACTTTTATTAACATTCTTACTTCGCTCATCATGGATGGGTATATTTGATAAAACCAATACTATTCTAATCTGCATTCATATGGTCATCAACATATCTGCTTTTTAGACACATGGATGATATGAGATAAAAGGCACATAGATATCAAATCAAAATTTTTGTGTTCTCAAAAAGCAATATCTAAAAATATATAGGCTTGTTTACTTCTCAAAAAATGACAGTCTAGATAACTGTCCAATTTATGAAGTCAACAATTTTACCTACCTTGAATCTATTATAAATGATAGAGTTCAAGGTATTGCTAACAGGTTGAACAAAGTACACAGGGCTTTCGCTATTCTAAATAAATTTTGGGCATGCAAAGCTGTATCAAATTAAGCAGAAATAAGAATATTTTACTGAAATATTAAATCAGTACTTTTATGTAGATCAGAACTTGGTTTCACTTTAAAACAAATACAAGTAAGTTACAAACTTTTATCAACAAGTGCATCAGGAGAATTTTTTACATGAAATGGGTCATAAAATATCTAACAATAAATTATTCTGAATCAGTACAGAAAAAAAACAAACAATTGAATTAGGAATCAGAGAATGAAAATGGTGATGGATAGGACACGCTATAAAAAAAACGGAAAAATTCAAAGTAAAATAGGTGCTGGATGGACAACCCAGGATGACTAAAAAAAGGGGTAGTCCTAAAATAATATGATGCAGAATTATTATAAATGAAATAAAGACTATGAATAAAACATGGAGAGAGATAAAGTGCTTGGCCACCTACAGGGTGAGATGGAGAGTCATGACAAAAAACCTATGCTTTTGGAGTGAAGTGGTATAAGTAAGTAAATATGACCTTATGGATTTTAAGTACAATCCACCTTCTTGAAGTTACCACTTTGTTACTCCATGTTAACCATGTTTTTTTTTTTTTCAATACATGTGTAATTTTTATATGATTTAATGATCATAATAAAACCAACCTTTCGACCGTTCTTCAGAGTTAAATATTGTTGCCGAAGGGTAATCAAGGTAATAAACAAGGTCAAGGTAATAAACAAGGTCATGGTAATAAAGGTATGTTGATTCAGAGAAAATATTTTTAATCTGATTTTGAAATTTAAAATAATATCTGCACTACTTAATTGGCACACTTTAACTAATCCTATCATACCACAAAATAGCATAATAGATGAAAATATAATCTTTAAATCAAAAGTTATTCATGTTGTAATGTTTTTTTTTTTAATATCTTGAGCACTATACTGTAAAATATAAAACAGTCAAATCATTACAATTTTGTATCGAGAGAAATAGTTTTAACCCTCTAAGCATTCCTATCTGTATAGGAAAATTTTCCCTAGTTTTTTTCCCTCGATAAAATTTTGAATTGGAAGAGTTACATGAAGTGATTTACTAAAATTAATTCATTTTATTTAGCTGATGAGAAAACACGAACGCTTGATATTTTGTTGGTCTTGAGAGTGCTCAGATTAGTGAAAATTATTGGAGGAATTCAACGGTAATAGTTTTATTTCCATTTTAAATGTTTATTTTTTGTATCAAAGCAAATGCATTTTTTTTGATGAATTATTTTTATCTGTTTACTAATTTTTATATTGTGTTCATTTTGATTGTTTCAATGTATTTTGCTTTGCTTTTTTTTTGTCTGCAACCTAATGATTATATTTATAAACTAAGTTGTATTGTTTGATAGTCGCTTATGTAAAAAATATGGCAATTGCAGAAATATGATTGCCTTTTTTAAACAAGCACAAACTAGTGTTGATGTCCCTAGCCATTTTCTATTACAAATCTATCCTCTGTGTTTTTCAAATGTTAAAAATCTGAATATTACTCTTATTTGGCATTCACAACAATTAACATTATTTTTGAAAAGTTTCAGAAATTTTTTTTTATTAATGTAATGTCTTCTGTATTTTATAAATATTCAAATTTGACTTCTTTCATACAATCACTACTAAATTATGTAAAACAAAGAAAGTGATTTAATAATTTGCACAATGTTAAATAGCTAGTAATTTGTAACTGTAACTGTATTAGCCCATCTTACCTGAATTACTGTCGTTGAATTAATCATCTGTTATACGTATAAATTTTTGAAAAATATTTCGAAATTTGAATCTTTATGAAACAAATAGATGTAAACCTCAGCTTGACAAACCAAACTATTATTTTTTAGAAAAACTAGCTGTGCACACCTAGTGAAATTGTTAGGATTTGCTGCTTTTTATATAAATTATTATAATCTCTGATTTAACGAAGATACTTTTCAAAAATTATTTATAGATGCAAAAATATGAAAAATTTATTTAGAGTTTCCTGTATTTTTTTTTATCTCTATAACTCATCTTGTATGTTTTCTGTAACTTTTTTCTATTGTTGTTATAACATAGGCAAATAATAATTTTTGTTGTATAATTTTTATTTTCCTTTTTTCAACTTTCTTTTAATCGTCAGTATGTGCTTTCAAGTGTTTATATATTGTTGAGACATTCGTCAAAATAATTTTTTCAAAGATATATTACTTTTCTAAACAATACGGAGATTAATTGAAAATTATGTTTTTTCAATTTATTCACTTTGAAAAGTGAATGAATCAATTGAATTTATGATAACTAACTTGTACTGTACTGTATGGTACTTTTATACGTGTTGCACTAGACCTTAATGGGCTATTGGTGACCTTCAGGGAAACATCCCTGAGGATAAGATAGCTATTTTGCTATCGATAGCTATTTTATTGTTAGAAATAATTTCCTTAAATTAATTTTGTTCTAGATTTCAAGTGATTGTTACCACCATACTCAATTTGGGTCCATCAATTCTAACTTATGGTGGAGTTTTGTTAGTAAGTAGTAATAGGTAGTTGAATATATGCTTATTAACAGTATAAGAAAGTGGTTTATGGCTTATTTATTGAAAATTTAAATTTCTTTATCTTTATAGGTTGTGTACTATGTATTTGCAATTATTGGAATGGAGCTGTTTCATAATAAAATAAACTATTATGGTTATGAAAACATCACAAATTCCAATCATCTCTACTGTGGAAATAATTTATTAAAGGGATCTGTTTTTTATCAAAGTCAATACTGCAGCAACAATTTCAACAACATTTTAAATACATTTGTAGTTTTATTTGAGCTTATGGTTGTCAATCAATGGCATAATATCCTTTAGTAATTTTTTAGTGTCTCACTTGATATACAGTTGTCTAGAGAGTTATATTTTTTATAAAAAGTTATATTTTATTAATATATCTATATTTTATAATATAATCGTTTTACTGATAGTTCTATTTATTATTAATACAAGATATAATTTTTTATAAGATTTTAAATAATTTTCACCTCATATAGAATTTTTGATTAATTGAAATGTTATCAGACAATTCACCCATGCTTTTTTTTAATATTTATTAGACTCAAAACCTTCATTTGAGACAATGAGGCAGATGAATCTGTTTTGGTATTGTAAAAATGTTCACAATCCATTTATCAAATTGATCCATTTATGGCTTAGTAGGAACAACTACAATCCTGCTTATAAAACTTCAAAATTCCACCAGAGCTTGTAATGACTAATTTATGTGAGACCTTTGTTTGATTTTTGAAAATTTTATATTGCAAAATTTATAAATTTTTTAAAATATTTCTTATTTGTGGATTGTTAAAATTTTATGACTTTGATATATGTTTATTTGATTTTTTTATAAGCCAGATATTAAAATGTCTTCCTTGTTTTAACTTATGGAAATCATACAGCTGTAATATGTAACTTATTACTGCCGAAAATAGAAATTTTTTATGATATTTTGAAATATTTAATGGTGTTAAATGACTGTAAAAATCTTTAAGCTTTTTTTCTGATTTGAAAAAAATCAAGATTTGTATATTGTGAAAATTTAAAATGACCTGTGATTTCTGGAAATTGTTTTTAAACTTAATCTTGCATTTATTAATCATTCACTGAACACAAGCTTAATAACAAAAACTTTGACTCTTTTTTATTTCCTCTGAATAATGCTGAAAACTTCAATCAAGTCAGACTTAAAAATAAAAGCTACCTTAGCAACCTAATGTTTGAATTTTTTAAAAAAAGTATGTAAAAATAATTTCTGAGATAATTTCTGAGTTTGAGACATTTTTAAATCTGTGAGTGCCGACGGAATTGTGAAATTGAATTAAAATTCACCTTATCTAGAACATTCCAAGAAACGAAACGTGCTGTAAAAACGAAATGTTTGCTTAAGAGCAGATAAATTGCCAAGATGCAAAACTGGCTGTGTAAAAAGTAGTTAAAATATTATGCCTCAAGTTTTACTCAAATTCAGCTTTCTGAACTGTAAAATGTTAACTCAGTTCAAAGAAAAATGAAGAGTTTGTGCCTCTGGTTTTCTTGGGTATTTTGTTTGGTTGATTCATTCAGTCTTTTATTGTAATTTAAATTGTTTGTCATAATCTGATATTTAAAGTAAAATTGCTTAGCCACAAGTTGAGAAAAAAATAAGAACTTTTTTTTTCTTGTCTGGTATATACATCAAATGAATTCATCTTTTAAATATACCATAAATTATGTCAGTTTCAATCATACTTGTCTCCTTAACTTTTTTTAATTATTACGAATGGATTTGTGCTTGTAACTAGTAAAGCAGCCAGAATTTATTTCTTTATTTTTCATCTCACATGTGTCATTATTGTTCTCAAGTAAGTAAAGTAGCATTTTTCTTATCATTGCAATTTATATTACTCTATGTAGGCAAAAGTCAGTAGGCACTTTCAATTTTTAAATTTTTTTATTTCTATAGAAATATTGGAAGGATTATATATAATTTTTAGGTCCCGTAATTATGAATTAATTAAAAATCTCAATTGATTTATTGAATTAAAGTGAACTCATTTTTTTTTCAAACTCTGGATTTATTCAAAAACAAATGTTAACAAAGTCATTGAAAAAAATTGCAAACCTATATCAGATTGTTTGCTCAGAAAATGATATTTTTCTCATTTTTAAATTCAGTCTATGCTCGTTAATAAGGACCCCCTTGCTATTATACTGCTACCCTTCCATTTTAGTGACCAATAGAAGTCTTGTTTGATATTCTATAGATGCAATATCATTTAATACCTATCAGAAAATTTTAACTGATTTGTTCATCCCAATATTGCGACCAATATTTTATTTTTTTTTTAATTTCAAGGAAACTACTCCAAAAAAGATGTTAAACATTTCCGTGCTTTCGAAACAAAACTTTTTCCTATGAGCCAATGGATAGAGTAAACCTGGAGTAAATAGCTCAAATCCCAATTTCTTTTCATGTTACTGCTTATTAAATGAGAAACATTTTGAATTCTCTATAAATGTAGAAAGAATGGGATTCATATTCTTAATCTAGGTTGTTCTAAATATAATCTGTAATTTAAAAAAAAATAGTGAAATACCAAATATTTTTCATTGATGTAAATTAAAATTGTATATTGCGTTCTCATGAGGAAATTGGAGTCAAGGAAAAATTGTATACATTCATAACCCTTGTAAAATTCCTTTCAACAGGTTGTTGAAATTCATTGATCATATTTTTATTGTTTAAAAATTATATTCACTATTTTTGTGATGTTTTATTTTGATGTTATAACAAGTGGTATTCAGATTCTTCTTGATTTTATTTTTGCTTGGATTTTGTAGTTCTATGGACATATGATTAGTGAAAACTGTTCATGCCTAGAACACTAAAAGCTTAGAAAAGAAATTTAAAATTTTCAAGGAAGTATATAGAAGAATATTATCAAAATCACAATTTACTGAAATACTGAAGATCTTGAAAGCCACTTAGTTAATTCTCCTCCCCATTAATTAAATACACCTTAGGGAATTACATCAAAATTTAGTTTTTTTGCACTTAATTTTTTTTCTTTAATAGAATTTTATAAACCCTGGATGTTTCAAAACTGAAAAGTGTTGTATACTGAGGTGTAGGGAATGTGATAAGTGAACATTTCAGTTATACTTTTTGTGATGATGCAGATTAAAATAAATAATCTTTTATATGTGCTAAAATTTTATCTGGAAAGAAAATTCGCATTTTCTGTTTGACTTCATTCCTAGGCATTTCTCTATAATTTTCCATCAATTTTTTATGCCTTAATAAATGAATGGTTTAATTTTCAGTTTACCTTAGACTCTTTCTTATTTCGTCTAAAAGTTTTCAATTAAGTATTATTCACAAAGAAAAATATTAGGTTCTTTTATTTTTAAAAAAAGTAATGTTTTCTTTAACGGAGTATAAGACTTTTGAGGTTGCATTTTTCTGACAAATTCTTTTAATATATCAATTGTAATATTTTACTATGGGTAAATTAGGTAGGGCATTTTGCATTCAGTTGAGAGAAAAAATATCTCTTTAAAAACAAGGACACAATTTTTTTTTGTTTTTTAAAAGTTTATTTCATTAGTTTTTTTAAATGGGTGAACTTTTGATTTCTGCTTTTGGTGTTAAATTTTTTTTTATTGATTTGTAGCTAGGATATTGCAATAACCCTCCAAGTGTTGAGCTGCTTTGCAAAATAGTGGCACTAGCTTTCCATTAAATAACATTGGGAAAACCTGCTTTTAGATGCGAGAAAGCTGTGGCTGTTAGTTATAGGAAATCTGAGACTAACACTCAAGAGATTTAAGATTTAAGTTAAATTTGCACGTAATGAAGAAACTAAAATTTTCAATTTTCTGTAAATGCACCGTAAACCAATGGTGTTTTCAGTCTGTTTCATTTAGTTAAAGCACATTGCTCAAAGCTACTTTGTCACCAGTGTGTTTTAAAAATGAAGTATTATTTTTAAAGTATGTGCACTTTTTTATGATTTTTATCATTGCATTATGGGCATCGTAGGTGCTTAATTTTTGAGGGGGACAAAATTAAAATATGCAGTCAAACTATAAATTTCACTCCTAACAAAATTTTTTACATCTATAAAAAAATTAATGTTGTTCTTGTTTTTACCTTCAATGAATTTAAATGGATAATGATTGATAAAGATTTTCTCTGTAAGAAATATCGAAGAGAACTATAGATTTCTAATTATTGAGAGGGACATATACTCACCATCTCCTCCCCTGCCAACGGCGCCCATGCACTACTTATTCCTTCATCATGAGTTTTTATTTATGTTGAACACTAATTTTTGCCCTATTTTTTCAATTAGCTCTTCCGCTTTGAGTAAGTATGAAAAAATTTGTTTTAACTTTATGCCCTATGATTATTATTTAACTTTATGTCTTATAGGTATGTTTTTCCTATCTATTTTAGTATTTTTGTTTTACTTATACCTTGTTACTAGTTTAACGTTTTAATTCTTAGAACCACATTTTTTAAAAATAGCATGCAACCATTATTGCTGTTTCATTTCTGACTTATCACATTAAGCTCATTTAGATTTAATTAGTTTTTTTTAAAATTTCTCTCAGTAATTATAAATAATTTATAGAATTGACTATTTAGAACAATTAAGTCTGAAATAAAACAGTCGGAAAAAACAGAACAGTCGGAAGTGAGCATATTTCTGCTAACTTCGACAAACAGTTTTAAAAGGAAAACAAAATTATTTTCAAAAGAAATTTTTTAAATTTTTTTTTAACCATGCATTAATTTACAAAGTGCAAAAAAAAGCCTGAATAATTTTTTATTTAATAACTGGATTTTCACATAGTAGCAAGGAGGAAAGGCTTCAGCGAAAGAGCGGAAATTCAGCCATCGATGTTTGATGCGGGGTTTTCCTCCTTGGTGTGATGTGTATTGAATTTGTGCGTCCTCATATTATAGTTCTCTCAACTCCATTAGCTGTTTCAATGTTTGTCCATGCACATATTTGTTTTTAGTTTACCTGTGTCCTTTTCACATGGTGCACCATAAGATAAATGTATTTTAACGATTGAAGTCATTTTGATAGACGAACATAAAGTGTGTAAGATTGATGCTGCTGGAAAAAAATAAATTCAAGTTTGATTGGTTAAATAAAAATCAGAGTTACTAAAAATGTAACGTAACTATCAGAGGTTAGAGGTGAAAGTTAGCGACTGTTTTAATTTAAAATGATGATTATTAAGCTTTATATATTGCCTAATTTTCTTTAATATAGTAGTGATCAAAGACTTTTAAAATTACATTTTGGAAAAATTTAAATTTCAACTTTCTAAATGCTTCTGAAGCTTTTAATATAAAATAAAAGTCTCACGGCAAAGTTAGAAGTTATGTTTTTGTATATCTTATTGATATCACAGAATAAGATAGAACTCTCTCCGCCACCTCCTAGTGTCTGTGTTGTCAAAGTTCACCTTTTTTTATTTTTGTCCACTTTCATGTCTGTACTAGGATTCAAACTTAATGGTTTGAGGGGATGACCTCATATGTTCTAATTAGTGAGAGCAGACAATATTTTAAGCTATAAAATCAGACACAAATATATACTTTCTCTGAATAAGTGTACTTCTTTTGACGAATTGGAACTTCTTACCCTTAAAATATAGGGGGTTACCGTGATCTGGGAAATATAGTTCCAATAGTTTGGTTAGGAGAGCAATCCAAAGTTGAATGTTAATTGTACTTTTTGCATATTTTGCTATATTTTTTGAAGCAAATTAAATTATTTTTGAACACAATCAAAAATTTTATTTAGCCAAAGATAATTGTATGTAAAAAATTATTTGCTATAGTTTTTCATTTTTATTTTATTTAATAATAGTCAAAAAGTTTTGAGGTGTGAGGTATACAACATTTTGCATGATTTTAAAGAATGGATTTTTTTTTTGACTGGCAAAATACAGAATTTTAGCTATATCGGTCAAATAGTTCCTGAGAAATCTAATTTTAAATATACAACTTTTTTAAAATTCAATTACTTAGGTACCATTTGACAGATTTCTTTTAAATTAAATATTTTGTCTTATAAAATTATGTTTTTTAAAATGATGTGGAAAATGGTATACTTTACTATTCAAAATTTTAGCTACTAGTATTATAAAAGAAAAATTTTAAACAATTATAATTATTAAAAAATATATTTGGCAAAATTTTCTTTGCAGAAACAAATTTTATGATTGAGAGCAAACATTTTTCAATTCTCTTAAAACATTCTCAAGATATAGTGAAATATGTAAAAGTAAAATTAGCATTTAAGGGGTCCAAATTTTGAACTGCTCTCCTGACCTAACTATGGGGAACATATTTTCCTGATAGCGGATACCCCCTATTATTTTGGGGGTCAGAAATCATAATCGGTCAACAACAAAAAAAGTATTTTTATTCAGAGAAAATGTGTTTTGGTGTCTCCGATTTCATAATTTAAAACATATGTACAAATTAATTAGCATATTTAAAGTCACCCCCATGAACCATTAAGTTTGAGTTCTAGTATGCGAAAATCCAAAGATCATGGATCAAAAGTTATTCAGAGACTTTCTTTTTTTTCTCCAGTACACTGTATACATACAAAAATATTTTTCCTTAAGTATACTTTGATATTAGTTCTGAAAAAGAAAAATCCAATGCATATTGAAGTGGCAAAAGAAGACTTGCACAAACTCACTTTTTTAAAAAGATAATTCCCACCTATAATGATTATAGCAATTTTTTCACTAATTTTGATTGCATGAAATATTTTCTGGTAGTTGCTTATTCTGCATAGCATTAGCTTTAGTTTTTACGTGCACATATATGTCTATGTGTAACTATTTTTATTTAATATAAATAGATTTTGAATTTTCATTCTTACAAATATATTAAAGTATGTAGTAAAGGTCTACCCTAGAAAAAACCATCTATTAATCAGCTTTTGCATATTATTTATATTTTGTTATTTAATTTATTTTCTAATTTTTATAATTAATTTTTAACCTATCAAGTTTCTAATCTTGCATTTTATCAAGAAATTTCTATATTTCCTAACATTTGTATAATATTTCAACATTTAAAAAAATAACAATGTTCTTTGTTTTTATCTTTCAAACTGTTTTCTATATTTATAGATACGTATACAGTGTCGGCGGAAGACGCTTTTGCTCCCTGGGCGATGTTAAAAACAGGGCTCTTCAAACTCAATTTTAGAAGAAAAGAAAATTTCAGAAAAAATAAAAACTTTAATTATTTTGCCGGTGTTGTCATAGAGCAATTTTTTTGTTGTTTTTATTCTACATCTTTTTTTTCTAATATCAACCCTAAATGCTCATTTTGGACACATGAACATAGTAAACAATTCCTTCAAGGTTAAAAAAGAAAGTTGTTAGTTTAATTAATGAAAATATCACCTCAAATATTCTAGAATAAACATCTATTGCAGGTAATATTTTTATTGATCATAATCTTATGACATATAAATATATAAGCATAAACATTAAAATTTATTTTTTTGTGCTATAGCAGTGGTAAACAAACAGTTTTATAGACACTTCAAAATAAATTATTTTTGAGGTCTCATTTTTGATAGAATTTATTGTTTTTGGTATTCAGTATGTTGTCACTTTGTTAAAAAGTATTTTAAAGAATGAAAAATTGTTGCCATCAACTGTTGTCAGACAATTTATAGATTTATAAAATTTTTTTTGCATTTATAAACTCGTTCACTTATTCGACTATTCAGTAAAATGCTCTCAAATGACTCGTCATAAACAAATTCACAGTATTTATTGCTTACTCGCTGTTAATGCACCTAATTACTGATCCATTAATTGTTTCTTTACATTCCTTTTTATCTTTTTCTTTCTGATTAACCCAGATTTCTCGAAACTTCCGCTGTGATTTGATTGAAAAACTTAAATTGGAAACGGAATAAGTATTTTTAACATTATTAATATTTATATCAACAATTTCACATTATCATAAGAGTATATTTGACTCACAGGTTCACATGTAGTACATATCTAAGACCCAAATCTTACACTTAATTGAACACTGTTTTTTGTTATAAAATTAATTCCTATTCTTTCATATTTGAGCAAAAAACAATGATACATTTAATAGTTTTAAATATACAAGAAAAATTTTTTAAAATGTATTCAAATGGGGAAAATTATTTTTCAATAAAGAAATCCAACAGAAAAGACTAAATATTGTAAAATAATAAATGACACATTGAGACATAGCTTTAATAAAAACTCATTCTGTAATTTTTTATCTTTGATTAAAATCTAAATTAAAGTAATAAATAAAAAAATTCGTTTGTGAACCGAAATTCCAAGGTGATGTTTATTTTTAAAAATTTCTCCTGTTTTCATAAAATTCACAAGACATAACACGCTAAATTAAAAGAATGAATGAACAGTTCATATGGTCATTCTCTAAATGCTTTCCTCCCAGTTTCTGTCTGGCATTTATTATTTGCGAATATTGTGTGAAACTTGCAGCCCACCTTCACCCCTTGGAAAATGTAGAGCTCTTTCTATTCAATATCAAACAAGTAGCTTTTCTGGCGCACCTTGTTTTTTCCTTCTTGAGTAAAGCTTTAACCATATACAAAGTTATTGTAAGAATATATAATTTAAAAAAATAAAAACCTATAAATATATTTTTCAGGCAAACAATATAAACAAAAAGAGAAAAAAATTAAACTTTGACTGCATTAAATCTCGTTCAGCGCTCCGGGCGAACGCCCGCCTCTTCCACCGGCCATATATATATGTAATATACACTCACTTACATGCATGCATTCAAATAAAATCCTATTTTCCGAATCTTCAAGATTTAGTTTGGAAAATAGATTTTTCTGAATAATTAGTCTTCAAGGTAAACTTAGATATAAACATGTTAAACAAGAAAAAAATTAAAATCTTTCTTTTCTTTAATAATGTTATTTTGTAGTTTATATGGCATTTAATCTACTAAACTTTGTGCTGTAGCTAGTAAAAAGTTGTGACATCTGAATTAAATATTGTATTATACGTATATAAAACAATGTATACTTGTTGTGTGTTATAAGTATATGAAACTTCAGTTATACCAGACTTTTAAAATTTAAAGCAGTTTCTTAAGAGAGTAAATTTCTATTAGCATTATCATTGATTTACTATCACTATTTAGAAAGTTTAAAGCTTGAGGAAACCCTGTATATGTGGTTACCTACGTTAGGAAGCGAATGGGGCAAGGAAAGGGTATTGAAAAATACGGTATATTTTAATTTAAAAGATTTCAATTTAGTGGAGTTCTTGTGAAATAAAATTGTTTGAATAATGAAAGTTTATTTCTTCGAAACTATTTAACTGACTTATTCAATATTGAATGTTTTCTTAAGTTACATACCTTAAAATTATGCATATTAAAAACGCTTAAAAATTAAATTATAAAGAGCTAAAAATAATTAATCTAATATTTATTTATAATATAATGATGTAATAATATAAGTTATACATAATAATTATTTTGACTTCAGTTTGCATAAAATTATGTTTTGATAAAAGAGTTATTGAATTCTGTGCAAAACGTTTTTGATTGCCATCAATAGTTCTAGAAATATTGTAATAAGTAAATTTAACATTAAGGGACTCAAACTTTTGACCTTACACAATTGAGACCATATTTTTTTGATTATAAATCCCTCAGAAAGAACGAAATGCTTTTTAGGAAAAAATATATGTGAGCACAAATTAAATAGCCTATTTAAGGTCTATCCCTGGAATCAATGAAATAGTGTTTGAGTATACTACAATCTTATTAATAAAATGCTCACATTAACCATTTATAATTTCGTTCACTGTAAAAAGGTTGCAATTTTGTAATGCTTAGGGTTGAGATTGGTTAATATTGGTTCATCTGCTTAGTCTGGAATTAATTTGTGTATCGAACTGATTCAAAAGATTAATACACCATAGTTGGTAATTAATGTTTGATACAATCTCGATTTTGCTTGGATCTAACAATCATAATGATTTTCTATATTATTGTATTTTCATGTTGTCATGTGATATTTTAATAATTTTTCTGTTAACACTGCAAAAATGAAAAAATTATTTCAAAGAATTATTTTTTGAATGTTTTATTTCTCTATTGTTTTTACATAAAAAACTTTCTAAATATTTTGACAAAAATTTCTAACTCTTTGTTTCATATCTTTGATTTTTTTGAATGATTTTTAAAAGTAATTTATAAGAATAAATTTAATTTATTTCTCCAAATTGTTTTTCTTGGCCTAAAATATTTGTTCTATTTAAAACTCATTAATTTTGCAAAATACAGTAAAAAATCTTTATAATGCAATCCTTGGAGCTTTGTGTTTTATGAAATTTTGTGTTAACAACATGTAATTCTTGTTTGATAGAAATTAGTAAGCAAACACATAATCTTCATAAATCAAAAGTTTAATCTGTTTATTATACTTTTAGAAATTTGTTCACCTAGTGTATTTCTTTAAATCTCGCATCAACATAATTATTAGTATAAATTTATTTTGCTACTAAATTATGTAAGCTATTTAAATCTTTAAATGCTATATTTATGACATTTTTCTCTTTTAGTATTTTCACTGCATTTGTTCTTGAAGCATTTATTTTAGAATACTCATTTTGTAAAAGCAAGTTGGAAAGTGATATGGAAAAGAAGATTATAGAAATGGGTCTCCAACTTGGAAGGTACCTTCAATCTGTCTCATATTTAATTAGGTTGTAATGTTTCATTAAATGTCATTATTTCATTAAATGTCTATTTATTTCAGACGAACAGTAAAATCTGCAAAGAGTACTGATAAAGAGGATTTAGTCATAGATTCAGAGGATATAGTTGAATCCGTTGAGGAGGAGCGAAAGACATCTCTCTATCCGGATTTATCTGAGGAAACTGGAATAAGATTCCATCTTTCAAAAAGTATGTTTAATAATTATTTGAATAATTAATGTTAAATAATTATTTGAATTGCAGAAATATTTTGTTTTAAAATTAAACTCTGTGAAAGTTAGCTTATTGATTAATAAAATGATTGATTTTACACTGTAATTTTTTTCTCCTTAGAACAGTACAATTGCCCCCCCCCCAAAAAAAATATATATAACAGTAAAAATGGAGGAAAAGTAATTTTTTATTAATCTGTTTATACTTGAGTTCACATATCTGGATCATTTTCAAAGAAGTGAAATTATTAACTGTAGATAGTAAAGTGAAGTAATAGAAAAAACTAAAATTGAGTAATACTAATACAATAATACTCTACATATCTGTGTGTTTGTTTACTGCATATATGTTTGGTAATTCCCTTTGATCTAGAATTCTAAAAATTCAGTTTTTCGAGAACACACTATACGTCTTTATTGCTTTCTTCAATGAATTTAATTTGTCCTGAAATTTTTTTTTCTAAACTTGTTTTATTTCTGTATGTCAAAGGAAAAAGACACCATGTCCATTTGTTTCTAAAATTGAATAAATACCATGTCTATTTGTTTCTAAAATTGAGTTAATAGTCAGTATTGTTTGTTTCTCACTCTATCTTGTATAGGACACTATGCCCTGACATAAAATCGCGAAGTTAGGCATTTTGAAAAAAACACTTTGTACAACTTCTTAAAGAGGTAAAAGATAATAAAATCTGCTCTTCTCAAAAGTATCATTTTTGTGATATAGTATCTTTTACCTTTAAAGTAGATATTTAAAATTATGTTTTACTGAATATTGTGTGTAATTAGTTTTTAATTTATCCATTTTTACTTTGTCCCTTATCTGGATCATTCTCAAGAAGATGTAATTAAGGTGAAGTAGAAGAAAAAGTTAAAATTGAGGAACATAAATGCAGTGTTACTTTATGTGTGTTCGTTACTTATATGTTCAGTAATTCATTTTAGTCAAATATTCTGAAATTAAATATTAATAACAATCGTAATGTAGTTTGTTTATCCAACTAAGTCTTATGTATAAACTTCGTAATGAAATTTGTATAAACGATCAATTGACAACTGAGTCCATGCATAGTGAAAATCAGTTCATTATTAGAGTACATTTTTTCACATAATTACCAAAACTGAGCATTAAATGCAATTGTTTTGGCAAGAGTGATTAATTTATAAGAAGTGCTATAATAATTTAGAAATAAAGAAGGATTAATACTATTAATTTTACAATTGCTGTAAATTTGTTACAGTTGTGAAATACAATGCCACAAGAAATGTCTTGAATGTTCTATGCCAGAAATGAAAATGGCATAAAATTTCAATAAGAAAAAAAATTCTATTTTCGAAATAAAAAATGTTTGATCTGTTTATTTTCTTGATTTTCAAGAAGTATTTCCTCATTGCATTGTTTTCACAAATTTAAAAAGTTTAAAAATTTGAAAATTAGTAAATTAAATTTAATTTTTATATATGTAAAAAAAGATTCTCATGACATAAATTTCTTAATGTATTTTTTTTTTTTTTAATATTCAAAATTAGTACCTGTTTCTATTTACCTCTTTTTAGTCAGATAGTATAAAAATTATAAGACTTTACTTCAAGTTTAAGACACTTCAACTTTGTTTTCTCAATCACCTGTAATAAGGAAGCAATTTAACGATTAAGTTGTAACTTTAAAAGCAGATTTTTGAAGGACCCTCGTATTTTTATCTTTAAGATTTTATTTTATCTGACTATAATGCACTTTTTTCTCTAGGTAAAAATGTAGAAAACTTGCTTCAAAGAATGTTTGAAAATGAACTTGATGTAAATGATATAGGACCGGACGAAATGTAGAAGATACTCTTTATTTATAATTATCTCTATATACTTGCTTAGCCAATTCACAACACAAGCTCAAGTATCTAATTAGAGATAAACAAAAGCTGTATGAATCAGTGTTCTATATATGATCTAATAGCAAATTCCAAAGCAATTATAGTCAGATATTTCAGAATAAACATGTATCTAGGGACAATATTCTGAAAAGCGATTGTAAAGTTCGCAGCATCGGCGTATAAACTTTGTAGTATATTTTTAAATCTTTGAAAGAAATTAATGAACCAATATTTTGGGATAAAAATTATGTTTGCTAACTGTTTCTGGATAGTCATTTATGTTAACTGAAGTTCATTGATGATAGTTGAACCAATCATTAAAATTGATCATGGAAGTAAGATCTTTATTTAGAAAAGCAACAGCATTTTCACCCATATTATTTCTCTTTGAGAGCCATTATTTTGTAATTCAACATTTTAGATTTAAGTTTCAAGCACATATTTCATGAAGAGGTTGATTAATCTACATTTCAATCTGTAATAATACACCAGACAGTTAATAAACTAATGCTGAGGAATACCCTTGCTAAGTTTTTCTACAATGATATATACCAATAACTTGGTATTCTTGTACCTGGAAACATCATTTTACTGTTAGAATTGCCACGAATTACTTTTAAGTGTGGCTAATCATTGTATGAAGTGCTAATAAATACAGACTTTTTAGAATTGCAAGCATTCAATTTTACTTTAGAAAATGCATGTCTAAATGAACTTTTATTTTGACAGTTTATACCCACATATACAAGACATTCTGTAATCACTAGTACTAAAATGTTGTTTTTATGAATTCTAATTTTTTACATTGCTTGTTTCAAAACTCAGTATAGAAAAAATCGATAAGTGTTGCATGAGAAGTATTTTTCACTTGGGAAATTAAATTTCCGAACATTAATAAAAAATTTCAATTTCAGGAAGAGCATAAAAACGTTAACCAAATTAACATAAATAAAATTCTACCAAATTTTATTTCAAATGTCTGTTTTTCTTTCTGCTTTGCTTTCTAATTTTCTGCATTGGTTCATTTTAAATGTTACTGTTGTGATATATAGATATATATTCTTGTATAAAATGAGCAAATCAACATAATCTTGCACATTCAATTCTTTTTAAATATTTTATCGAGATTGTAAACGTAGAAATTTTTTTTATCAATTTTGTCATAAGAATTAAAGTAATTTTCTTAATATAATTTATTCAACACATCTTACACATATAATCATTCATTATAATATGTAATTTATTCAAACATGCTATGAACATAAAATTCTGAAATTTTTTTGCAGTGGTTTTTTTTAATTTAAAAATGTATCAAAATTGTAGTTGTTAGGAAAATTGACTCTTACTATTCTGCAGCGTGTTAAGATTTGAACAAAAGGACCAGGTTAGCTTTTTCCTTTACACAATATATTAATTACTATTTTATGAAATTGTTAAATAAAAAAATTTTTCTTTTATAAACCTTAAAAAGCTTACAGCTGCCTCTCTGTTGATGATTCACCTTTTCCATTAAAACATATTTGCTGGCTTAAATTATTCTGAGATTTATATATTTGCTTTGAAGATCAATTAAAGCATTATCCCCTAGTGACAAAAATGAACTTATTTTCTTCAGATAGCAGAAAATTTTGTTTTGTTAATGTTGTTGCACATCAGTATAGATAAGTAAAACTATCGTTCATCCCTTTCTGATAAAAAATTGTATTATTAATGTTTCCAGCTCTGAAAACCAAAAAATATTTCCAATAATTTGAAGATTATAATTTGAAGTCCTCTCAATATCAAGCTAGCTGTAGGAAGTTTTCATTGATTTTCTCTCCCTTTTATGCAAATACATTAGGTTTTACTCACAAAAGTAATACTGTCCAAATATTTAATCTCTAGTCTTTTGGGTTGGTTTCAAACATTATGAAGTTAAGAGTTGAAAGCTACGCAAATGATTTTCTTTCCAAAGCATCAAAATCCAGTGATATGATCAAAAATTATTTAGCAGTGGTTTCTTTTTTTTTTTTGCTGACTATATTAGTGATTTTACACTTTATTTACATTCCATGTTTGTTTGTTTCATCGATATATAAAAATTTTCAGAATATATTCTATATATATATATAATCTTTTTTATTTTATGACTTTTTGTTCCATGTCTAATTTATACTGATGTAGAAGATATATTTTCTAAAATTGATAAAAAATATTTGTCTATATATTCTATGAATTTTTTAAAATATCTGTTATTAAAACTATTTTTCTATAAAGTTTAGAATGTTGGTTCTGAAATTGTAATTACTTTATTCATATGTGTTACTTGCAAATAGTTTTATATTCACTATATATATCTTTATTATTTTATGACTTCTTGTTCAATGTCTAATTTATACTGATGTAGAAGATATATTTTCTAAAAAATATTTGTCTATTTATTTTATGAATTTTTTAAAATACCTGTTTTTAAAACTATTTTTCTATAAAGTTTAGAATGTTGGTTCTGAAATTGTAATTACTTTATTCATATGTGTTACTTGCAAATTGTTTTATATTCTCTATATTTATACATCTTGTACTTATGAGTTTCTTATACACTAGTAGAAGAGTATTGATAATTTGTGAAATAAATATTTTTTATTGATTTGATAGTCTTCACATAAATTTAGCTCCTTGTTAATGCACCAATAATGTAAAAATAATCATATCAAAATCGTAGAGTGAGTTATCAGATAAACAAAAGTGGTCAGTTTAAACTTTGGTTCTGCTGTTTAGGTACAATTGGTTTGCATGCATCTCTAAACAGGTTTCATATTCTAAACATAGTATTGGTGAAGTTCAGTATGACTTTGTTATTAAATGTATCAGCACTGAAATCTCACATGTATAAAATAATTTTGTCCAATTAGATGAAAAGAAACAGCTGTCACAGTTTGGAAATATCATGAGAGGATTTATTAACATTATATATAAAGATTAGAAAGCTGATATTAAAAGTATTTAAATGAGTACAACAATGTTTATGAAAAATATTTTTCCAAAAAGGTTATAATAAACAAGTTTGCATGAAAAAAAACTTTTTCGAAAACCAGAATATAAATAATGCAAGCGTTAACTTTTTCTTTTTAAACTTTGTCACTATCTCCCCCAAAATTCACTTGTCTCATTATTTAAAACAGTTAGTGATGATTTTAATCTGTTTATAGTCTTAGTCAAAAAGGTGTAAAAACAAACATTCTTCAATTGGAAATTTAAGAATCTTAGTTAAGATATTTAAATCAAGAATTTCTAGTTAAGAGATTAAAAATCTTCATAATTAGGTTAAATCAATTCTCTCTAAAAAAAGGTAAGACCATAAAAGTATGCAAGTTAAATAGAAAAATGTATGTTTCTTAATGAAAAGTTTTTATTTGCAGGGGTTTAAATTTTTTTATTTTTATATAATCATAACAAATTGGATATTTTATTTACAGAATGAAAAAAAAACAATAATTTTAATTCTACATGGATAATTTAGTTTTGCTTATTTATATATTAAATTTTAAATTCATTTATACTGCAAATTAATGAATAAGAGTATCATACATTTTGTGCTCATTTTATTCCTAATTTTTTTAATAGGGACTAAATGATTATCTATTACTTTTTATTTAATACATGTATTTTAATTAATAAGCTTTATTTTTTAAAATTTATATCGTTTCTGTATTAACTATAGTGACCACGGAAGTGTTTCTAGAGTGAGGGAGCTATATATATAGCAGACCCACTCTAAGAACTTCAAGTTTTTAGCCAAATATCAAAAGTAGGTTTGAGGGTCGTTTCACCGAAAATACCGCCTTAGGTGTTTACCCCATCTCAACAGTTTGAAAAGAACACATGGAGCAGGTATACTCACATAGAAAATAACTAAAAGGGTTAGCTTGATAAGTTAAAGGTTGATCTTTGGCATGATAATATGTCATCAAAAATTTGGCCAATATTATAATTGAAAAAGCATACCTTACTTCTTTCATATGGATAAGGTGCATATGCTTCATAAGAAATTAAATAAGAACTAGAATGCTCTAATAGTGACTGATATCGATGTCTATATGAACTTGTTTAAGAAAAATTACTTGTAAGTTGCAAGCGATGCATTTCGCATTAATGGGTGTCTTAATATATCGCATATAGTTCTTTTATCGATTCATTATTGTCAATCGTTTAATTTCTTAGTGGAGACGTTTTATTTTATGTCCTTAAAGAAAAGGTGGGTTTTCATTTTTGTGGAAATTTATGATTTACCTATTTGAGAAAAACTGAGGCACTTCCTACTGCGATGTTCCAAATATTAGAAGTTTTATTACAATTATTTGACAGGATGTCAATGATTTGAATCAAACTATTAAAAATGACGATTTATATCACGTCATTTGTTTATAAAATCATTCATTCAAATCAGAGAAGAAAAAAAAGACTGAGTACTGAGAGCAAAAATAAAATTTTCATCTAAGCATTATTAAATATACTGATTAATAACTTTAATAAAGATAGTAATTCAAAACGAAATAAACAAACAATTTTATGGAGGAATGCAGAGAACAAATGTTATGTGCCTTTTATTATTTACCTTTATGTTATGTGCCTTTATGTATTTACCTTGAGAATGCATTCATATAAAGATTTTTTTCCCTGCCAATAAAATATCCGCATTTTAGAATTTAAAATTTATATTAGTGCTACCAGTTTAATTAAAAGAATTTTAACTTATGCTCTTAAAAAATATTTTATAATGTGTGCAATTTTTATAACCTTTAATTAAATTTATGCAGAAACGGCATAATAACAGTGAATAAATTTTTCTTTTTTAATTATTTATAAATTACACAATTATATACATTTAAACTTAAATAGGTACAAATTATGTTACCTAAAATAACTTTGGAAAAATTTAAAACATTCAATATTTGATATCCATTCAATAATTAAACTTATGAGAGAAAATAAAGATTTCATAATTTTAATGAAATAAACAGGATAACAATAAAAAAATAACTACCTAATTTGGTTTCTTTATAAAATCCTTTTTCAACATCCTGTTATATTGTGAAAAGTAATTTAAAATTAGTCTACTTTGGCCCGTAGTCGACCAATAGCGAAGTTATTTTATTTTGTTATATTTCTTCTCTATTACTTACAGATTACTCATCTAGTATGCTTAGAATTGGTGTAAATGTTTCTTTTTCTTTGGGGTTAGAAAAGGGAAAACCTGTGGTAGTGTAGCCTTCAAATATTTTGCAATCATAGCAAATTGGCAACCTGCTGTTTGCTCATTTGTTACTTCCTGTTAACGATATGATAAATTTAAAGTATGGTTGAAAGACAATAAGATTGCTGCTCTTCAAGATCTTTCACAGAATTGAAATATGAAGAATTAAGATAAATGGAATCCTTCATTACTGTATCAAGAAAATGGCTGTAATCCCTTTGTGAGGTGGAAGGCAGTGCCAGTGCAAATGATTAGTCCACAATCCAGTAATCAGATGGTTAGAATTCTCGGTAGAGCTAACACTTTCCTTAACCCCTTGTTTACTATTTCTTTCCTTTCTTAAATAGTTTTCAAAATGCTAATAAATTTTAACAGCGAAGCTACTCAGCTTATTTGACACTTTGAGGAAGTTAAAAATTTATGAAACCTTGATATATTTTTTCTGTTTCACGTGTATTCTAAAAAATCATATAAAATGTGTGCCAATTGGATTGTCAAATTTACATAAATAATGAATATTTCCCTGAGCAATGTGGAAAAATTTGCATCAACTTATACTTTAAAAAATAAATAAAATAACACAGAAATATTTCTAATATAAAAGCTCATTAAATAATATCAGTTTAAAAAGCGTTTCTGATATGCAATAAAAAATGTATTAAACAAAAAAAATTTTACTATTCCTATGCTTCTCAGATTGAGACAATTTGTCTCAAAATCAGATGAATTAATAAAAACAAAATTTTTTTTCATGTATACTACACAGACATTTATAATGCTGTTTAGATAATTTAAAATAACATTCCACTTAAAATAGGATAAAACAAGTATCACTATCACAGACACCTGGATAGTGTGTAAAATAAATTGAATAACTAATCATCAAATTTTGCTGTTAATGAATGTAATCTAATGATCAGTTTTTACCATTCCAGGACTCAATCTTAATGGTTTGAAAGACTAGCTTTAAATAAACATATTAATTAGTGAAGATGATATTTTAAGTTATAAAATTAGATGCAAAAACGTACAATACTTTTCCTAATTGAACATAAAAACTTTTTTCGAAAAAATTTGGATTTTTGATTATCAAAATATGAGGGGGGGGGGTCATTAAAAATCTGTCCCCAATAAATTTCAGAGGAGATTGATCGAATGTTTGAACCCCTTAATGTAAATTTCACTTTTTGCATGTTTTGCAATATCACAAGCTTTTTAAGCAAATCTAAACATTTTTGCATATATTAAAAAAATAAATAGACAATTATTATGATAAGTAATAAATAATAATAATTTTTTCTTTTGCATACAATTATCTTTGGATAAATGAGTTCTACAATTGTGTGCAAAATGTTTTCAGTTCATTCAAAAAGTCCCGAGATATGGCTAAATGCTTAAAAAGTAAAATTAAGGGATAAAAATTTTACCGGCTCTCCTGATCAAACTTTTAAGGCCATATTTTTCAGATTATGGCTATCCTTCATATTTTTAGGGTACAAAATCAAAATATGTAGAAAAATGTTTATTCTCTTAGATGTTTATTCAGAGAAAAAACGTTTCTGTGTCTGATTTTGTAACTTAAAATATCGTCTACACAAGTTGATTAGCATATTTGAGGTCACCCCTTTTAATCATTAGAATTGACTTCTGGCACATGAAAATCCCATCATTAGTTATTCAAAAGTTATCCAGGGTGTACTATTTTTTATTTTGCACACTGTATATCTTATATATAAGAATGATACGTGAAATGCAACCTCATTGAGGCACTGGACACATATTTTAATAAGTTGTAAATAATTTCCTCTCATTTGCATTCTACTACTTACAAAAATGATTTTAAAATGTTTGTTTTTTGGTAACACCTACATATCAACAGAAAATGTTTTGTTCCAATTCGCAGTTTATAAAGACAAAATATTCAAAAAAGGAGTGGCTTTCTGCGATCTGGAAAACAGTTGTACTAATTTACTAGTTGTATTAGTTTAAATTGAATTTTTAATTCTTTTATTTGTTGGCTTCTACAACTGTAATAGCAGAATATACGAATTTATTTATGAAGATTTATAAACTTGAAACATGGTAATTAATAGGAAACAACACACTTTCCTTCTTAGAAATATTATCGATTTAATCTTTCCCCCCTTTGATAAAAATTAAGATCTGCATTCTTTAAGCAATAACTTAGTGCAGTAAAATTTGGTGAGTTCAATAATAAGAACTGTAATTATGACTGTAAAACAAATGGATAAAGATAATGATTGTTCTGATTTCATAATAACAATAGAAGTGTTAAGAAAATAGAAACAACCCAAGTCGATAATAATTTGGAATTTTAAAAGCTATGGGTGCATATTTGATGACAACAAAGTTTACTATATGTTAGAATAATGTTTTAGTTGATTTTAAGGAGATAAATTAGATGGTACAAAGACTGCGCCCCAGAAAACAATCCGTTGTTTTTTTTAAAAAAAAAATTTAGTATGAAGTTTCACCTACCACATTATAAAAGAGTTTCGTAGACATATTCAGTAAATTTTTGGAACATTTAGAGGTCAGTGTAGCAATTTAAAAAAAATATCCAAAAAAAACTTAGAAAGTGGTACAAAGGCACATCGTTTTGTGGTATCTATTGAAGAATTTCTGTTATTTTTGACCAAAACCTAAGAACACAAAAAATATTTTTTTTAATCTTAGAAATAATTCAAAAAAGAAAAAGTTAAATGATTGAATCCATACAAAAAAATACTTATAAAAATATTTTTCTTTTTTATTTTATTTATAAATATAATGACTGTCATAAAAATAAAGATTTTCTGTTAAATGACACTAAATACAAAATAGGTTTATTTCAAATAAATAGTAGTAAAAATTTAAATTAGATAAAACTTATTTATTGCTAACATAACAGAACCACATTTCCATTGTCAGTTCCAAGAAGAAGAAGTCTATTTAGAGGTAATAGCGCCATGGTTGTCAAAATACCTTTGAAAGTATCAGAACGTAATCTGCTACTGCTGTATACAGCCTGAAATGAAATTACACCATTTAAACAGTGTTAGTTTTTATGCATAATTAATTAAGCTTCACAGAATTTTAATTTATATTAAAGAAGTAAAGAGGAAAATACAAAAAAGGTTTCTCTTGGGAGGGCATAGTGAACATCAAGACATGATAATTTTTTAGAACATTTTCAATTTTATATTGATAACAGTGTTTGAATTCCATTCATATACACATAACACATTCAAATGCCTACTGGATATGCAAAACACCTTAGCGATATCAAAACATGATATTATATGTTAGCAAGAAATTTTGTTTTTAAAAAGTAGTTTGTGCTGTTTTATTGAAGTAGAGTCAACATTAAATCTATGTGAAAATAACATGATTTTGACACATTAATATTTAATTTAAACCCCTTTTTAAGCAAATCTACTTGATCTAGTAAACTCTAGATTTTTATGGTTTCTGGAAATTAAAAGTTTTTCGGTTCATAAAAATATACTTTTCTTGCCAAAAGAACCACTTCATGTATATCAATAGAAAAACATCTGTGGGAGCAAGTTCCATATAAACATATACTTGATAGAAAAGTTTTTGACACTGAATGCAATAAAAAGTATAATTATTTAGAAATATTATTGAAAAAAATATACTGTGAAACTTTAATAACTTATGATGTTATTGGTAATCATGAATACATCAAGTTATTGAAAATTTGACTAACCAAAAACTGAATAAATTTTGCTATTTTTAATATGAAAACAGATAAAATAACCCTTGCAATTGTCATAATATTTTTTTACTATTAAAATTGACAAAACAGAACTTGGAGAAATAACAGCAATATTCAGAAGCAATATTTTTCTCATACCCTTTATCTTTTCTTCAATGAGTTTGGATGTATCAGGAACATTTACTCCATTAAGAACTTTTTTTTTCTTATCACGTTGTTGTAATTTAAGTCAAGTTTGAAGTTACCTATTGTTAAATCTCCCTCTCTATACATAAGACCCCAACAAAAAACTGTAAAACTAAGGAAGAAATTATAAACCCTCCAGATAAGTAAGACTTGGTTTGAATAATATCACATGGTCAAATGTTTCTTTAAGAAATCTCTTATTTTAATCTGATATTTATTTTCTTCTGAAAGAAAAGGATTAGAGTGAACATCAACTTTTTCAACTAACCATACTGAAAGAGAAATTGCACACTGCAAGTGATTAGATACAAATCAAACAATAACCTGTGGCAGGTATGTGACAACATAAAAATAAAATAAAATTTAAATAAATTTACTTTTTTAAGTTATTGGCTTCTTTCTGTCTTTGTACAGGGCTGTGTATAAGTTTAGACTAATAAAAAGTTTATTAAGGTGCGATTTTTTTTAAACAAAGAAACACTGTCTTATTGCTATCTTTTGATGTTTCAGAACACAAATTTCTGAAAATTATTAAAAGTATCAATTTATTGAACTTCCAAGTAATAGAAAAAATATTAATGTTAAAGACAGTATTTTCATCAAGGTCTTTGAAATAACAGTAAAAGTACAACTATCCAGTATTCAATGAACTGGGTAGCCAGAATAATGGGTTTCAAAACAAAAATATATCTTGCAAAAAAATTATTTTGTACAAAAAAAATGATTAGAATTGATATCTGCTATAAGAATACCAAGATAACACCAAAATTAAAAAAAATACCCCCTTCAATTTTGCTCAAATATAAACTAACAGCACTTAAAAAAAGAGTGCTCCCGTCCCTCATCATAAAATCAAGACTGCAGAAGCTCAACATGCAAAATTGCCCAAGCGCACAGCAGTATCAGAATCAGGTTATAATAGAAAGAGAAATTTTTGCTACCTTTCTAAGAGGAGAGGGTAACAAATGGAAGAAAAAGAGCAGGTATTCTACATATTTGATATCTTTTTAAAGAACTATATTCTTAAGCATTTGTAACACAATACTTACTGCTTTATCTGTCGAAGAATGAAGTCCGATTCTATTGCCTGAAGTTCCTGATATTACCTCATTTCCATAAAAGCAAATACAAGTTACAGGTTCCATAGGACCTTTAACAAAGAAGAAAATATGTTTTTTCTTTAGAAAATATGTTTTTTTCTTAGAAAAAACATATTTTCTGGAAAAAGTTATTGGTTGCAAAATTTGGATTCATATTCAGTACCTCCAAAGACAAAAATGTACAAAATATAAAGAATCCTGTCAATTTTTTCCAGGTAATGTCTATTTTTGAGCTCTATTACTTAGACCATAACTACTTTTCATGCATTTTTCAAAAATATTTTTTTAAATAGTAGTCTTTTTATAAAATTAGTCAAATTTTTTTTTGCAAACACTTGTTTTTTAGCATTTTTTTTTTGTAAGCAATAGCAACTATAGTCAATTCCAGTTGGTTTTAGTAGCAAATAGTGGCATTTTAGCTGCCAGTGGAAACCCTGAGAGGCAAAAATATAAATAAATAAATATACCATTTTTTAATCCTCATTCTATAATATTAGAATAGTGATTTTGAAAATAGTGTTTTTTGACCCACTTTACCAGAGGAATTCAGAAAACATCATAGACTAATGTAGAATGAAACATACCTTTTAAATGACACTTTGCTTGAGCATCTTCAAATTTCCATACTGTTAGAGACTGATCAAGAGAAGAGGTGAGAAAACTAGTATTATTAAAAGCTTTCAACTAAAAAATAAAAGAAAAATATATAAACAAATATTAAGTAATTTACAACCAGGAAAAAACACAAACTTTTTTAATGATTCAGACATGAATGTTTTTGTTGATTCTTTAGACAATGTTAAGAATGATTTCTACCATGTGAATAACACTTATTTTGATTCATATTTGAATGAATGGTGAAATTTAGGCCTGGTTCTTATGTATGTATATATATTTGGTGCCTCTGTGAGGCAACTGATGAGTGATGGAGAGACTGTCTATGACTTGCTGATGCGACAGGATCTTCTTGACTTGGTCTAGGGCTCTAGACCAAGGGGATAAGCAACAACAACATATATATATATATGTGTGTGGGAGTTAGTGCAGCATAAGATGAAATAACGACGATAATTTAATATTTAAACATAACATTTAATACAAAGAAAAGGAAATACATTTAAATTTAGAAGTGATATGGTTGGTGAGAGCTGCCTTCTCGCAGTATCTCCAAAATGCATGTAAATAAGAAATTAAATTGTTCTATCGAAGAAAGTTAATAGTTAATTATAAATTCGGGACTTCCCCATCAGGACTGACTGGTGCCTCTCAAAGACGAAGAGGATGATGAAATATTTCTTAATTATTACATGATGGTTGATGACGCAATGTTCGCAGTTATTACACTATGGCACTGAATCTCCACAATATTCGGTCATCCTGCAGTAAAATGTCCTCATTTTCGATCGGAACAGCTTCTTGACACAGTTACCTTAATTGAAGAGACTCCCAGTGTCCAATGGTAATCCATTATTTCGTTGATTCAGACCAGATGATTAATCTCGCTTCCCTTTTCGGTGAGTCCAAGGATTTCACTGATTCCTGCACTTCTCCGCTCCTGATCACCTTTACGGTACATCCAAAAATTTCACTGATTGCTGCACTTCTCCACTCCTGATCACTTCTGCCCTTCTGATTTGCACAGGATATTGCAATGATTTCGGAGATTTGTCCAGGATCAATTCTGTCCTTCACGACAGATTTAATTATTGCTGATTTGAAAATGTTCATAGGTCTCTGCGGGCGCTTTTCTCCACTTGCTGATTTTTTGCTGCTCTTCTTGGAAAAGTTGACTGCCCTTCTCGGCAGATTCAAGACGGAATTTAACACAGGAACAACATTTGAGCGAATGTTAATTTGATAAACCGCTCCTCCACGAGCGTAGAATTTCAGTGATTCCCCTACACGGGATTTGAAACAGGAACAAAATCTATAGCTCCTACAATACGAGAGTAGAATTTCACTTTTTTTCCTTCACAATTCGGTGAATATCCCCTTCTCGGGATTTCAAAAGTTATTTGGCTGAAAAATCCCCTGCTCGGGATTTCAAAGTTGTTTGGCTAAAATCTTCTTCGCGGGATTTCAAAGTTCAGAAATTTTTTAGATCGACATTCAAATTTCGGACGCAAGCCCCCATTATTTGTGGGAGTTAGTGCAGCATAAGATGAAATAAGACGACGATAATTTAACATTTAAACGTAACATTTAATACAAAGAAAAGGAAATACGTTTAAATTTAGAAGTGACATGGTTGGTGAGAGCTGCCTTCTCGCAGTATCTCCAAATTGCATGTGAGTAAAAAATTAAATTGTTCTATTGAGGAGAGTTAATAGTTAATTATAAATTCGGGACTTCTCCATCGAGACTGGCTGGCGCCTCTCAATGATGAAATATTTCTGAAGTATTACATGATGGTTGATGACGCAATGTTCGCAATTATTACACTATGGCACTGAATCTCCATATATATATATATTTATCTTTGGGCTGTGACTTCACTGGAGATCACTATCTAACAAACAATTTGTTGATCTCAGTTGGAGATAAGATTCAAAATTGTTACAGAATTCCAATCAGAAATTGGGCTCTGTATTCTATTTACTGAGTTGTCAATATCTATTTTTACAGACATGACTATAAGACACATTCATTTTTTATTTTGCATCTAGAATAATATATCATTGAAAACTATTATTATAATCACTTAAGAGAGTGGTAGCAAAAACCTTTAAGCACGGCAGCGAGCACTATAGATGATCACAGCATCAGCAGATAATTTTCTATCTCAGATTTGGTCAAAAGGGAGGAAAAATGGCAACAAAAAAAAAAAATTTACTAAGACATAGTTAAAGAGCACAGGAAAAAAAAGATTTTTATATCCTCCTTACTGTGCGACATGAAACAACTTTTTTTTTCAGAAATCTAATACAAAAAATTAATTGACTAAGACTTTAAATTTGACATTGTTGGTTTTGTATCAAACCAGAAAATTTTACAATTTGAAAATTGTCTGCAGCTGGAGAGGATTGATTATAAAAAATATCAAAGTGTCATTCTCTTTAACTGGAATTCAATAAAAAAAGTTGGAAAGAAATTTTTTTATTAAGCTCAGAGATTTTTTTCACTTGGTTTTAGGTTGCTTATGGATTTGTTATTAAAAGTATAAATTAGTCAAATCTTTTAAAATTATGAAGATTTTTCCAAGTCACTTAAATGTACAGTAAAATTGAGTATAAACAGGGATTTATTTAAATTTTTTGTCATTGATAGAACAAAATAAGCAGAATAAAAAGTTACTTGTAACACTTCGCCTTCGTGTCCAAGCCACGTTCCGAATACAAGTCCAGTTCTTACATCAAGAACAGAAAGCATCCCAGTTGAATGTCCAACAGCTAACCAATTTCCATTAGGGCTAACTGATAAAGATCGAATTAAACCAGTTGTTCCAACATTAACTTTAAACTCATGCATATATCGGCATGTTCGTGCATCCAAAAACCTGCAATAGAATAATATTTCATTTTTAAGATAATAATTGTATGCTAAATATTTACTGAGAAACATTATTAAATAGCAAAATGATAGATAGAGTATTATTACAAAATGACAGAATATTAATATTTATTATCAAATGATAGAGTATTCTAAGCCTGGATACAGGGTGTTTTGTAATACCTGCTGATAAAATATTGGTGGTTTTCAGAAAAAACTTAGATAGGTCATATTTTCAAATTAATTCTATGTTTTTTAATAGTTATTGCCCAAATTTCACTTAAATTAGTTCAGTATAAGATTTTTAATTATTATTTAATGATCTGGTGATTCATTTGACAAGTTCGCCAAATCATTAAATTACTATAAAACAGATATTTCTGCATCTATTTATATGCAATTTTTCATAATAATTATTAGAAAATATAAAATTAAGATAATTTTAATGTATAAAAATACTTGTTCAAAGGCACACGTAAAAACAGTTCATAATAGGGAAGTGGTCCTAGAGCTATACAATAACATTTCGGTCATGGATTACTATACAATTCTAAATCCTTATTATGTGCCCTGCATTCACTACTCTTTTCATCAGTCAACTTAGTAATACATACACATAAAATTAAATTCTTTTAAATGCTAAAATTCCCTCAAAACTAAAGATTACCAAACTGATTCTTTTCAAAAAAATAAATAATTCCTTCTCATCAAAACCGGATTTGAGGAAAAAAATATAAAGATGGGGAAAAGTGAGGGTTTTATCACATTACGTAACAAAAAAGTTTATATTAAAATAAATCAACTCTAATGTTCTTGAATGAAAGTAAAAAATAAAAAATCGATAAATATTTTATTGAGAAACATAAATGCAAATTAAATAGTTTAATTAAAGAAATTGTATGGGGTCTAAAAGGATCTAAAATAATACAAATACATTATACAGGGTATCTGCTAGATTTTAGATTTTCAAATCCATGACTTTTCATGGCTAATTCTAAGAATTTTTCATGACTTAACTATTTTCTCCAACAAAAACACAACAATAAATTTTAAAAACCATTATAATGACATTAATTGAAATTATAGGTATAACCAAAACTTTTATACTCTGCATCTTCATATTTATGAATTTCAAATTTAAAAAAGAGTAAAGAAAGAGTTGAAGCAAAAAAATAGCTGAAAAAAATACAAAAGCAAATAATTTTTTTCTCTTCCTTTTTACTGCAGAATTATATTTTAAAGATATTTTTCTTGTTCATTGGAAAGGAAAGAAATACTCCCGATTTTTATATTCTCCTTTCTAAATAAAAATTCACCAATGACTGGCGTTAATTGATAAAATAGAAAAATAAATAATAATAAAAATTCTGAAATCACAGAAGTTTAAAAGGGAATTCGCTCTAGAAATGATGTTTTTTTCTTTCATTTTTTGAAAGAACACCATAATTTTTAAAGAACATGATAAAAACATTTTATATTTTAATAAAATATGACTGTGAGTGGGGATTTTGTTATAAATTCAGATATTCTGAACACCATGAAATTGAGGAGTGGGGGTGAATTCCATTTTAAAAATTAGATTTTTCAGTGACCTAAATCCATGAATCATTTTCCAAAAAAAATAATTAAAATCATGACATTTAATAACAAATTTTGTTCAATACCAAAATTCATGACTTTCCATGATTTTTCATGACTTTCCAGGTGTGCAGATACCCTGATTATAGCTCTAAATAAGATTCAGCATTCAGTTCAGCATATTTAAAGCTTTAGGAGATTTATGTTTAGCGAATTAAAAGAGATTTTCTTCTTCAGGAGCGCAGCAGCCCTTTGCAGGCCTTGGCTGCCTCAACAGCACGCCTTCTCCAGCTCCCTCTGTCCATGGCAACTCCCCTCCAGTTCTTAAGTTTTAGGACTTTGAGGTCGTTTTCGGTGTCGTTGAGCCATCGAGTAGGTGGTCTACCTCTAGAGCGGGACCCCTGAGGGTTCTTGAAGGTGGCAATTTTTACAGGGCTATCTTCAGAGCCTCTCCATATATGTCCGAGCCATCTTAGTCGGTTGCTTCGGATTATCTGCATAATTTGAGGATGCTTATACAGCCCATAAAGCTCAAAGTTGTACCGTGTTCGCCAACATCCCCCCTCTGGTATGGCACCAAAGATAGTTCTAAGTATCTTTCTTTAAAACGTTTCTATCGGGCGTTGGACGTCAAGGTTTAAAGTCCAGGTTTCGTTTCCGTATAGCAAGACAGGCAGAATGAGTGTCTTATATAATTTTAGTTTTGTTTTTCGGCTAATGAAATTCGATCTTAGTTGACTTTTTTGTCCAAAAAAACATTTGTTGGCCATATTGATTCTATTGTCAATTTCAGATTTCAGTTTGTTTTGGTCATTGATAATTGTACCAAGATACTTAAATTCTTTAACCTTTTCAAAGGAATGTCCGTTTATCTGCAAAGATTCACTGTAGTTTACAGTTGAGCTTGAAAACTCCATGAACTTGGTCTTGTCTTCGTTAATGGAAAGACCCATATTTATAGCAGAGATTTTATGAGTGTTAAATCTTAGAACGGTCATTTAAGCACCTTTTCAAGCTACAAAAAATAAAAAACAAAGTTCAAAAACAGTAAACAGTTTAAAAAAACCCATGCTCGAATTTCGCGTTATAATATTGTATTAAAAATATTGATATTTTTAAAAAAATGTGGAAATTACTAGTAGCAACTGAAAGAAAAAAATGATTGAAAATAACTTAGATTGAACATGAAATCGGCAGAAATAAAGCACATCAAAAGTGATAATTAAAATGCCTGGATTGAAAATTGCAAATCGCTTTAATACTAGATTAAAAATGTAAAAATCACTGTTCAGAAATTTGTAGCGAAAACCACCAAAAAAGCGACCAAAAGACTCTATTGATTTAGATTTGGCATCACGTCAAAAACTTACATGCGCAATTTGAAATTTTCAACATTTTTTAATACTGTATTATTTCTGGAATGAGCATCCCTCTGCTAAGCAGGTGCTGCAGGGATGTTATTTATGCTACTGATGTAAGAATAAGTTACCATGCAATAGCACTTCTTTTGAAAAATAACCAGTTAAAAAGTTGAGTGTTCACTATAAGAATCAATATGCACAACAAATTATAAAGTATATCAGTCAACAAAACTTTTTCAAAAATAACATAAAATGAAAGGTTTGTTTACCTGACAGTTGAATTAGTCGTGGCTGCTAAAAATGACATACTGGGAGATGGCATTGCAGCAAGAACAGTAACAGGACTTCCTTTAGTCGGTTCCAGCTGCTTGATGCAGGAGCCCAAAAATGGATCCCAAATCTAATGTAAACCGAATGAAAAATATTAATAATATACTTTCATTTTTAAACCATGCGAATAAAAGGAAATTTGAACTCACATGAACTGTGCCATCACAAGAACCAACTAAACGAAGAGAATCCAAAAAGGAAAGGGCAAAAACTGATTTTCGATGATGAGTGTATGTCCATTGAGAAGGAGATTGTGCCGAACCATCTCCCCAACTTCTCAAAGACCATAACTTGACAGTTTTATCTTTGCTACATGTAATGAAGGAATTTTCATTATCTAATATCTCAATACCTCTGACAGTTCCAGTATGACCTGTTAATACATTATATTATATATGAATACATCGACACACTCTCTGCAGACACATTAAAAAATTAGTATAGCATAAGGAGAGTGGTTGAATGTGAAACTTTTAAAATTCGTCATCTCATCTCTAATGAAAGAATTTCCTTTTTAGTAGTTCTGCTTGAATCAAGATAAATTTCTCAAGATATCTGTTCATGGTTGATTCAGCAAGAAAAAAAAAGACAACTGAATAACTAAAAATCAGGGCTATCAGTTGCAGAGTCATCAGGTATAAATACTTTCCTAAATATTAAATATATTTTTTTTTAATTTCAAAACTATATTGACACCAGTTAGTAACAACAAAAATATGTTTGCAACATTTTATAGTTTATTTTAACACTACTTAACTAACAAAACACACATTAACATTGTGAAGCTAGGCTGTCAATGTTTATATGATAACAGAGGCAGAGTGGCAATAGAAAATGGATGATTGGCTTGTGGACCAGTCATAGCTATTAGGGATGTACCTGGTAACTGGCAATTACCAGGAAACCAGTGCACTTAGTTGGATTTTTATTAACTGGATCCTGTAAAAAATTTCATTACCAGGTACCCTGTGTTTAGTCCAAGACCCAATACTCATTACCTGAATCCAGCCAATTTTAATGGATATCATGGATATCGTTTATGTTGAACACAACCATATTTAGATTTAGATTATCTTAAAACTATTCATAAAATAGTCATAGTTTTGGAAATACTTGCATTCTATCAGTTTCTTTTTAATCAAATTGAAATAACTAGTTTAGGCACAACATATTTTACTATCAGGCAGAATTTAAATTCAGGGAAACTAATAAAGTGGACACTTTTGGGATAGAGAAATATGATTGCTAAACAGAAGAGTCCACTTAGGAGAATGACTTGCAAATGCGAAAATCTAACACTGAAAACTATTTTAAATTAACAATATAGTTAAATAAACACAAAATTAGAAGTAGGAACTATATTGCTATTTATTTAAAGTTGATGAAATTATAATTAATAAAATTCAGAGATTGCTGCAGAAAAGTATGACATATTTGTATTACTTTCATATACTATGCATGCTTTCAGCACATGAGTAAATGCATACAACTGAACTCGCTAATAACTAATTTAACGAAGAAATCAAAAATATTTGGTTGGTATAATATTAAGTCGAAAGGAGCATAGCTCGCTTTTAATGAGCAAACAATGATTATAGTGAGCAATATTTTTAAATTTCAGAAAATTTCTACATACTTCCACCTTTCTAGCTCAGCTAATCCTTTCTGAAAAAATTCGTTCTAAAGACACGAATATTTAGTGAAGAGTCCTAAATTCAATGAACACACGCTTTTTGAAAGCAAAGGTGTAAATAACGATGTTTTTCTTGTCATGAGTCTTAACCGAAGAACAATAACACAATAAAGAGACAATATGATAGTACAAAGTAAATTAACTAACTTCTTTTGTACTGTGCACATATGAAAAAATAAATAAGGTACCATATTTATTATTTAGTAAATATGTATAAGTTTTATGATTTTTTACCTAAACCTGCTTTTTACATGGACTCTGTTATAACAAGCAAATATTGCGGTTACTTCTTACTGGTTTTAAGCAAGTTAGAATGTAATATGTTTTTATTATTTAGTTTTGTAGTGAAAGCAATTTATAGAAGTATAATGGATAGCAATTGAAAATAAAACAAATATTTTCTTACAAATGTCACATTATTCTAATGCTATAACTAATCGAGACATTATTGAAGAATCCATGAAAATAAAAGCATATGCTAACAAAAATTATGAGTAAATTTTGGAAAGTAGTTTTTAGTTTTTTTTAAACCATTTTATTTTTACATAACTCAATAAAAACTCATTTGGAAACAATTTATTACATTTTCAGATAAGTTGATATACATGTATATTGAAAAGAAGCATGTACAAATATAACTTTAAACTAACTTTTCAGTGTCATAAATATTGCAAAAGCACGTTTCCTTACACGTGAAGTCAATAAATTCAATTTTCGAACAGTCTGGTTAAAGCATTCTTACCATTGGGTTAACCTTGGGGGGGGGGCCCTTCATGTAATGCAGATACACAGCAGTTTCAAGAAAAAAGTTTTTAAAGAAAGCAAATTTGCTCCTTGTTTGCTGCTGCATCTAGAAGTTACTTTATCGTTTGGGTATCAAAATTACTGGGATACAGATATTGAGTCATAACATTAAGGACAGCAGCAAATCCACTATATGAATCCTTTGTTTAACATTGGTTATATAAGATATTATTTCATTTATTTATACTTTAAATTAAAAGTCATTGTAAAATTCTTTTAGAAACTTTTTTTAAAAAATATAAAAATAAAAACACATTTTTATTTATAAAGGCTTTAGAACTATATCTTGTAAAATATTTGTTATAGGCAAAATTTTTATATTGTTTTGATTAAATGTTATAATACTCAACTGGGAATTAAATCAAAATTTTACTAGGTACCTGGAACCCATCAGGTAACAAATAATACTTTTGCCGGTTACCTGGTACATCTCTAATAATTCTCACTAAAATATTCTAGTCAATATTATGAAGAAAAATTAAACAGACAAAGTTTTATTTTAAATGATTCATAAAAATCTCTTACAGGCGTTATCTACTTTATCTGTAGTTAGATTTTGGTACTCTTCTTATTGGTTAGTTTTTCTTGCATTAACGTCATGTTATAACTTTTTTAATTCCACAATATTCATACATTTCACTCTATTCCGCATCTCTGAAATAATAATGGTAATTCTTTTTACTGCAAAAAGGGCTAACTTTTTTTTAAACTAAATAGTTGTGATTTGGTATTATACACCAGCAAAACGATAACCCTACTAAGTTTGAATTTTTAGAATTATCATTAATTTTTTAAAGAAAAAACTTCCTCTACTTTTTTCTGAAAGCTCTGATCAAAATATTTTAAAAAGTACTAACAATTTAAATCTCCTTCTCCATCTACGGCATAATATTTTAGTTTAGAAAGCAAAAGTGTAATGGGTGAAAAGACAATTGAACAAGAGTTACATTAAGAAGAATATATTAACCGATGAATGTCTGAAGTTTAATTTGCTTGAAGTCAAAATGTTGATCTTTATCACTTCGTCCTGTTTCATGCTCCCAGTATGCAAGCCAATTTCCTTTTAAATGGCGTTGACTGTCATCCATTTTTCTAAAGAAACAAATATAGGAATCAAAACATAATTTTTGAATTCTTTTTTTTTTTGTTTAATATTATAAATTCTCACACTTTGTACAAATTATTTTATCAAATTAAAGAATATTCTTTACAAAGCAATATATTACGTATTATCTGACATTCTCTCCTCAAAATAAACCAATACCATATATTCTTACTTACAAAAAGTAGCAATTTTTATCATTTATAACTGGAATCATTAATAAAAATGCATTTAATAGCATTCTTCAAATGTACAGTGAATATATGAACTATATATACTAATGCATATAAACTGAATCTAACTTTTGTTTTTCAAATACTGATTGTTTTTCAGCTTGTCCAAAAAAATAATTAGTGGAAGGAGTTAAAATCCTATTATTATTGTCTTTTAGAAAATATTATGGGGAGGAGATTTGATTCATTTCCATTTCTAACACTCATTTCTAACACCCATTTCTAAAATTTATTTTCATTTCTAACATTTCTATCCATTTTTAGACAGAAAAATGTCTCAGGAAAAGGCTATTCAAATTCATTTTAAATAACCATATAAGAGACCAACTAAGTTAATGTTTCAAACTCTGAATCTACCATGCTCAAAAAGAAAGAAAGGTGAAAAATATATAATCGTAAATTTTATGCAAGAAGATTTAAAAGAGAAAAAAACATTCATATCATTTATTTATTCTAAAAAAATATTGTGCATGCTGATGTTCATAGAATGATGAGAGAACATCTATAGAATTGTTTTTCATGTGTGACCTTAAAACAACAAGTTTATTCTCAATGAAATCTCACCACTTCTCAAAATGCCTTCCACGTGATAAACTATGGAACTACTTAGAAAGGTATTTTTTTCAGCCTTTTGTTCTAATGTCTCAGAGAAACATATTTTTCTTTCAAAATTTCCATGAAATATTGCTAATGAGACCATCACAGCTTGTCATAATGTAGTTTACTTCCTACAAAATAAATTGTTTTCCTTATTTATGTAGAATTGAAAGGATATCAAAATCATTTCAGCCTCTTCAGTATTGCCACTTCCACAGGCAAAGGGGCATTTCCTGACTTTTCATTGTGTTATCTTCAGAATGTAAGCTCTTATTGGTAATATATATATATTTTTGTGGGGCATCTGTCATTCTTAATATTTTTAACAATAGCTAGTTCACTACACCTGATGAAAGGACCACACCATTACCAAATTAAATGCATATTTTGCATTCATTATGTCAATAGAGCTAGTATGGATGTGACAGATAACAATTGACGACTTAAAACTTTTTATTTTTGCAATTATGCGTGAGCTTTGAAAGACTTCAGCTTAATGGATACTTTCTTTTGTACTAAACTTTGCAGCTTCTGACAAAAATAAAAATTAGTATAATTTCTCATTATATAATATATAAATTTGATGAAAGTGTTAAGAAAACAAACCGGTTAAGAATTAAGCTAATAACTAATATTATTTTGTACTTTAATGTGTAATATTAAAAAGTTTTTAAAACAAAATTTTTAATCTAAAATGATATTTTCATTCAATCAATATGGGGTTCAAATATAAAATTAATAGAAGTTTGGCACATTTTTTAATCATTTAACATATTTGTTGTAGAAAAGATAAAAATCCCTATTTTTTTTTAGTTTTTTAATTTGAATTTACTATAAACGCATTTTCTGATATTTTCAGTATCTTTAAATATTTTTTTTCTTCATAATTTCATTAATGTTTCGATGAAATTTTCGCATAAAATATTTATATGTTTCTATGAAACATGTGTATGTGACATTTTGCGCACTTCTAAAAGAAATGAAGGTAAAAGGTTAAGCAGAATGATCTCAACAGAAAATGTGAGACAAATGATTTGAATATAAAGAGAAAATGTAACCAAGTTATGTGAGAAATTTAGAAAGATTGTCTGAGACAAAGTGAAAAGGTTATAACAGGTTCAGATATCAAATCCCAAAAATGATCCAAAACAAACTTCTACACACATGAATACTGATTCTTAAGTACAAGAAAAACCAGTTCCATTTGGGATTAATGCAAAAGGAATTTATCTAAATGAGAAAATCATTTATAAAAAAATAGTACATCAAAACAATAGTAACAAAACTTACCCCCCTGATGAGTGTCTATGCTGGGCCCACGAAAGCTGCAGTGTAGCATATGAAGATAACTACATCACATGTAAATTATATGCATAATACTCTTAAATTATCATACTAAATAATAATCCAGAAATTCTAGTATTTCAAAATTTCCCATACAGTTAACATGAGCATCCTACTAGTGGGGTGCATATGTTAACCCTAACTGGTCGCACCCTTCATTTTCACCCTTGCCTTATCCCATGAGTGGGGTAAGCCTGAGTGCTTTGACTTTTCCTAGAAAATCATTCATAAAAAATAGAAGAAATGAATATATTGATTAAATCTGACAGTTTCTGGGTCAAACAGTTTAGCTTCAACATGCCTTTGCATCAAAGCTACCCAATCCAACCCCACTTTCCCTACATACTTAAATGTACAACCATGGTCATTTTTGTACTTCTGTAACTTATAATAAAATCTATAATTTATTGAATCTAACAGAGATTAACTCAAAGTACAACAGAGATTAACTCAAAGTACTTTTTCAGCATTACCCTGTTAACATAAAAAACAAGGTCAGAACAAAAACGAAATTGGTTAGCATATTAAGATTATGAAATAAAATTTTACCGTTTGATTAAATTCATATCACATTTTAAGGCAGGTTTGTCACCATTAGGAGATGTACTAAACAAGGTGTGATTGTCGTCTCCAAGTCTAACATCAAGTCTATTTCCTATTACAACAACATTCTTCCCAAATATTCCACTAACAAAAGATTCATCTTGACCTATGAATAAAAACGTATGAGTACAGCTCACAATATAAAAAAGATATCCTCCTGAATAACTTTTGTTCAATTGATTAGATTTTCACAAACTAAACAACGATCAAAATGATTTAAAGGGGTGACCTAAAATATGATAATTAATTACTGCAGTACAGAACCATTTATCCAGTATCCAGAAAATCAGGAAACATTTTGCTTGGTTTTCCCGCCATTTTGAACTAGAATGATTGAGGAAAAAAGTGGAAATTTGACTCATCCTGGAACTTGAGTAGAGGAAAAGGGGAGGTATTTTTCTCCTTCTTTGTGGAAAGAAAACTACAATATTTCCTCTGTGACCTTGAAATGTTTAGGTAAAGAGGAGGCAGGGAAGGGACTAATGTTTTATTTTCCTGTGTTTCAGAAGGAAATATTTATTTTCTGATAAGTTGCTGTCAATCAAACATAAAGGAGGGCACGCTGATTTCGTTTTCTCTTTGATTTACGAGGGGGTGGGGGAAATGCATTGCACATGCATATCAGTGAACAGAAGATGAAAGAGAAAAAAAAACAGAAAAATATATCCTGTATTTCACTAAGGAAAAATAAAAAAAGTGAAATAGAAATACAAAATATTAATTGGAATACGTAAACGATTAAAATTAGGCTATTTTTATTCAATAATTAAGTAGGAATATAGTTAAGCTGAATCTAATCATTTAAAAAATAATCAGAAGAATTTGGTAAATTATAACTCAAAACAGAATTGGCTGTGCTAGTGGGGGGAAAATACATAACCCATCAAGCTTTGACCAGACTACTACTAATAAAATTCTTAATTCATCAAAATAGAATGAATAAATTTTTATTATTGGTACAAATTAAATGATTCTAAAGAGAGTTATAAAACATCTTTTAAAACCAAAATTTGAGTACTAGTTAGTTTTTTTCAATGTATTATTTAAAAAAAGTGGGTTAAATAAGGAAAAAAAATTAAAAAATTTTTGCCACTCCTTATGAGAACATGAAGTTTTAAAATATCAGGACAAAATTAAATAATAAATAAGTATGAATTTTTTCTAAACTCGGTTCCTGTTAAATTTAGAATCTGGAATGAAAATTCGTAAATTGAACGACAATATAGTCTGAAAGCAAAATGACAGAGTGGTAAGCCCCGGGAATTATCAGGGAAAACGGATTCCAAGAAAAAGTCAGTGAATTGTCACAGGAAAAAGCAATTTTACCCAAAACTGGGGATTATTTAGAGAAATCGAGACTCGATCAAATTGCAGGAATTCACTCTTTCGTTTTTCGCAATATCGTAATTCGTGCTTGTGTAATAAGGGATTTAAAAAAATCAGATTTTTTCCCGAAGCAATCCTCATTAGGTGCATTTTCAAGACTCTTCTTTTATTCTTAATACTTTCTAAGTGTTGTCAATTGGATGTCTGAGTTCAGGAACTTGAAACTTTTGCCTCAAGAGTATTGACATGTTAGATTTTTTTAATCCAATTTAGTTACTCAATTTTTGTTATCCTTGATTTATTATGACAAACTGTTTTATAATTTCAGATAACGCATTATGATGAATTATTACAAACAAAACGTTTTTTTATCATGTGTTACATTTATCTACTTGACAATCTATAAACAAAAGAATATTTTTCAATTGAATGAATTGATAAAATACCATACAATTATTCATCACTAATATCAGATGATTATTTAAAAAAGCGAATTGCAGCTTTCTTTTTTTAAAAGAAGCTGCAATTTGCCAAAAGCTCACCAATATCTCGTCAAAAGTAGCCGCTGAATAAGGCTGACGATGAGATGGATTTTATACAGATTCGTTTAAAAAGTCTTTTTAATATTCTGTTTATAAGAGGATGGACTTTTTTTAACTGTCTACTTCAACGTCACAGTTAACAAATTGAATTAAAACAGTGGAAGCAAGCACAGGGTGCGTAGTCAATTATTTCAACGAAAAAAAAGCACCTTCCAAGAATCTTTTAAGCACTCAAAAATTATTTTTAAGAACTATATACATTAACAAAATGCAAAATAATTTTCAAGGACTTTACATGATCATATAAAATAACTAGTTTCTGACAAAGAACTCTACTTCTTAATTATATTAGCCATTATAAAATGATTGAGAGATTTTTCGGTTCGATATCAGAGAGTGGAAATGAAGCCTGAAATTGAGAATATCTTGCAAAATGCAGCAGAGTTGCACATGAGAGTGCAAGAATCTCACCGAACCCAGCTCAGTAGACGCACTTGCGGAACAAAGTATTTCATCAAACATGTAAAATGATTGTCGCTTTCATACGCTATGGACTGAGGGTACGCTGAAATGGATTGTTGTTGAATGAATTGTGAAAACATTGAATAGAGCAATGTGAAAAGTACGCTTTTGCATAATATGTGGCGAAAAAGCGACATGGTAACGAAAAAAATCTTTTTTGAAAAGGGAAAATTAAGCACTTTTTAAAAATTTTCAATGAAAAAAGCAACTTTAAGGGCTTTTAAAAAACGAAAATAAGCACCTTAAAGCACTTTTTTAAAAAGGCACCATGAAGCAAGATCTTTATTAAATTTTTTGGGGGGATAATCAACATTCGTTTTAAATTTGCAGCGGTTAATAAATGCTAAGCAAATTAATATAAAACTTTAGCCATAACTTATGAAAAACGCACAGGTAAAAACAATAACGGGTTTAAAAACGTTTCATATACATTTAAAAACTACAAATTAAAATTTTTTAAAACTACTTTTTTCAAGTGGATAATAGCTTAATCCCTTCCTTCTCCCTGTCGTGAAAATGACGGGGTGAGGTTTCGATCTCTATTTCTTGCTCCCGTGAAATTTCCGGGCTGGCGTGTTCAGTAGTAATGTGCCAATAAGAATAAAACTAATTCATTTCTTTTGCCCAGAAAACATTTTAATTCTCATTTTACACACCAGATGGTAGTACCAGGATATTTTTAAGGTAATTGTAGATAGTTAGTTTATTTTAAACTAGATGTCAGCACTAATCAAATACGTGTATTTGGCAAAGTAGGCACTTTTATGACTGTTTTCTTGAAAATTAACTGATCGTTAAGGGGTTAATAGGATAACAAAATAATAGGAAACAATTTTATTTTTCTGAGTTCTAAAACAAAAAATGTAGAGTTCAGCATTTTTGTAAGACGTCAGGGGGAAGGGGAGTTTTTCGACGGTGATAGAAGATTTTTACTTCAAATGATGGCAACATTACTATTTAATTAAGACTTGATATCCATTTTAGTCAGACATAAATTAAAACATTTTTTAAATTTTTATTTTAGTTTTGCATCAAGTTTCTTTGAGCTCCTACTTAAATTTCGATCTATAAAAGTGTGATAATAGCACCATTAATTTTAATTGAATTATTTCAAAAAACAATATTAAATTGTATTAGCACCAGGTACTAGATGGAATTTTCAGCATGACTGATGTTAGATTTGAGCCCAGATTCCTGAACTTATTAAAACAGCTATGTCACTGATAAAAATACATTAAAGATTTTGGAAAAATCGGGACTTACCTGGTTCTCGCACAGAACCTCTCAAATTTAAGTATAGTGCAAGTTAAATTAAACCTCTTTGTATAAAAAAGATTCTTAGATTTCAATTAAAAATATGAAAAGAAACAGTATTTTTTAAATATCTTAAAAATATTAAAAATATCTTACAAAATAAAATAACACTCAAAAAATAAAATTTTTTATATTTTTTTACAGGACAAAGTATTTATCTTTTAATTATGTACTTGAACATGTATGTTTATTTATATGATGCACCCTCTGAGAGAATATAAGGCTTTTTCTCAACATACCTAATGAGCGATCCCTTCGATGAGCAATCTGAGGACTTGAAACAGCAGCATCATTTTTAGAAAGAGAGCTCTGTATACATAGTTGTCTTATAAAATCATCATTTTTCAGTGTCTTTTCCATGTAATTCCTATAAGAAAGTAGTATTTTTATTAAAGAATTATATTTTCAAAGGCTCTCAATGTTGTATAGTAGTTTACAAACAGCAAAACAAACATCATTATAGAATAGCCAAGGCAACATCATTAGGAATATTTGTTTTGTTTTTTAACATTACAAAAGTAGAACAGTATAAAATGCTTGATTAAATAGTTGCTTTTCAATGCTAAAATGTAATTCATACTACTTGGTATTCATATTCATGAGATTTATAGATTATGTACAACAAATGATATTCATATGATTTACTAATTAAATGTAGTACGTGAATTATGAATCAACACAATAACTCTAATTCTCACAATTTATGAATCAATCAGCATGATTCATGAATGATCACATTCAAACGATTTACAAATAAAATTCCAAAACGCATGACCCATAGATGATGAGTATTTTTGCTAATTATGAGAAGTTTGGATACATTTAAAAAGTTTTGAATAAAATTGCAAATAATGCTTTAGATGTGTTTGGTTGCAAAGCAAGTGATAGAAAATCGACTATGTCATGTAATCAATTTTTTGATAATTGAGGTTCTGTTAATAATTGTAAATAATAATTTTACTATCAATTAAGATTTATAACACCAGATGGTGCTGAGGGCAAGCAATTTATTTTTCATTCTTTTCTACACTTCCTCTCTTCAGTTGGTTTACATTTATCCACTGAACAAGATGCAAGAATAAAATTATCTTAATACAGTCAAACCCCGCTATAGTGAACCTTCAAGGGACTGAAATTTTGGTTCACTATAACCGGGAGTTCACTATACCCGTTAAGCAGGTAATTTAACCAATGGTTCCCTAACTCCTCCCTTTTATTGCACATTATTCAAATAAATGACTGAAAAATATTAAGTAGTAGCAAAAAATGTGTTATTTTTCATTACTCTTCGTCTTGCGTGCAAAAAAAAATAGTAATTTTTAGCTGATGAGCAATCCTCAACATCAGATATGGAAACACTTCCTGACTCTCAAATAATTTTTCCTGAATTTATGTTATTCCACTTTTTAAACCTGTCTAACGAGCCATTCGAGAACATAAAAGTAGTTTCATAAAAACGCTTAGAAAATTCATCGACATTTGTCCAGATATTGGAATATTGCAGCTTCTTCAAATGGTGAACCACTTCAGTAATACTTCTTTAACATCCTTGTGATCTGCTTTTCTCAACTTTTTTCAGCTATCTAAATTTTTTTCATGGGCAGAAATTATTAATTACCTATTTTTCCATATGTTACAAACTGCAGATTTGGAAAGTTTATATTCCCTGCAAATATCAACTTGATTGCATCCATTTTCAATTTTTTAGATTATGCCCATTTTAACATCAATGGAGAACGTTTTACATTTACTGGTCGCTATAGTCAAATTTGAGACACTTGTTTGCAGACTTTTTTTTTAACTGAACTGAGCTGAGAGCAAAAAAGAGTTGAAATGAGGTCCTTATCAACACATATTAGTGTCCAACCCTTTGACCAATAATGAGTAATTACTCATTCCCTCTGACAGAAAATGCATATTGATGCCACTGACACCTTACAGGTGCATCATCTGCCAGGGTTTGTTTAGGGATTGGAAAGTGAAATAAAAGAAGCAAACGAGAAAAAATTCGTATCGCTACATTCCACTCTATAGATGGTTTTAAACATTGGTATATGTATTTATTTTGAAGTAGAAATTTCAAAATTATTCCAAAAAAATGAAGAAAAAAATCAGTCCAAGACAGAAAAAAGTTCATTATATCCAACTTCCTCACTTTTTTGGTTCACTATATCCACAAAAAATTACATTATGCCTGTATAGCAAGGCACGGGACCGAACATTTCGTTCACTATATCCGGGAGTTCACTATAAACTGTGTTCACTATAGCGGGGTTTGACTGTAATTTGTGTGACTATTATTGAATTTGACTTATGGTGCATCAAGGGCCGAAAAATAGGCCATCTGTATGAAAGCGAGTAAATTAACATTTGTTTTGTTTTGTTCTCCATAAAGTCGATAATAATTTGTTTTGATATTTCATTGTATTAAATATATATGCATTTGCATTTATTATTGCAGTAACGTGCGAGCTATTTATTTTTATAATGAATAATTTAGAGAAATTAAAATCGAAGCGAGCTGTAATCAGACAGTTGATTACGAAATTGATAAACAAGACTGACAAATTGTTCTTAGAAACACTTCCTGATTATGATACTTTGTATGATTCACTAAATCAGTTAGTTGAAAAAAATGAAACTTTAAAGGCTCTTGATTTGAAAATTGAAAAATATTTTGAAAAGAGCAATGAATTTGAGTGTGAAATTAGACAAAGTCAAAAGTATCAAGATAGAGTAGTGGCTTATAAAGGCAAAATCTAAAGACATATTCTGAAATGCCAGACTACAAGACAGGAAGGAACGGTTAATAGTGGTAACAATAATTTACAAGAAAATATAACTTATGGAAATATCTCGCACACTGCTAATGCTAAATTAACTAAATTGGAGATAAACAAATTTTTTGGTGATACCTGTGAGTGGCACAGTTTCTGGAATAGCTATAACATAGCAATGAGAGTCTTAAAAAAATTGATAAATTTAATTATCTTAAGATGTATTTAGAGTACTTTGAGTGCAATTTCTGGGTTTATGGGACCTAATTATGATTCTTCTATTAAGTTGCTAACCGAAAGATTTGGTAGGCAAGATTTAATTATCAGTAGTCATATGAATAACTTTTATCAATTAATTCTGAAAGAAATTCATATGATATTAAAGCTCTATGAGGCAACAATTTTCACAACAAAACAGAACACCAGATTTACTCTAACCTGACCTGCAGATCAATCATCAAAGACATTATCAAAACAACTTTGGAAGATACATTAAACCCACTGTAAATTTTTACTAACTCTGGACGTCCAACTACCGTATGGGTCAGCGTTTCCATATCCCCTGAGTCAACTCTAATTTTCTCGCTTTAATTACCTCATCACTGGAGACTCTGGTTCGGCGATTTTGATTTTTAGCCGGGATGACTATCCTTAAAACTGGACTTTTAGTGACTTTAAAAAATTTTTAAATCTCATGGTGTTCTTAGGTTGGATTTGAACTGTCCTCGTCATTCACACCATTTTAATCCACTTTTACTATTTCAACACTATTTTGATGATTTTACTATTTGTAACTCGTTTAATTGTTTCCTTAATAGGCAATTTGCCCTATGATTAGTTTTTAAATTTTATGCCATTTGATTGCCTCAATATAAGGGTCTGTTGACCTGGAATGGCAATTTATATTTTAATTTGCTTGTAATATTGCTGGTGTTTTAAATTTAATTGTGCTTTTAATCCTTATTTTAGGGTCTGTTGACCTGGACTTTTCATGGCATACATGCCAGATATATTTGTCAAGTTTTCTTAAAGATTTAATATTCTGACTAATTGTAGATAAATAATTTTGTTCAAGAGTATTGTTCGCCCGCAAAGTTTACGGGCTGTTGCCATTTGAATTTTGTATCTTATGTATTTTATGTTCTTTAATTTTTTTTTTATTTGGTTTTTAATAAACATTTACCCGTATGCCTTCAATTGGGGCAGGTCGGGGTAAATATTTTTATGATATTAAAGCTCTACGTAAGTTCTATGATGAATGTGAAATCCACATTCGCAGTTTGCAATCAATGAATGTTACAAAAGGTAGTCATGGTAATTTACTCTGTCCTGTTATTTCACAAAAGCTACCAGAGGATTTAAATTTAGATTATAATAAAAATAGAAAATTGAGGGTAGATTTTGACATTGATGAACTAATTTCATTTATTAGAAAAGAGGTAGAATGTAGAGAAGCCTCACATGTGTTGTCTAACAGTTCTAAAAAACTAAGTGTTTATTTTGAAACACAGCAACGGTCGGAGAGCCATAGTAAACATAATTATAATCCAAAGCTCTCATCTTCCTCGGCATTAGTTTCGGCATCTAACAATATATTTTGTTTGTTTTGTAATTCCAAAAATCACGAATCGAAAGATTGTTCTCTAAGCATAGAAGAAAAAAAAACAAATGCTTAAAGATCAATTTCGCTGTTTCCGGTGTTTAAAGAAATACCACACATCAAAAAAATGTTGGAGTAAATGTATTTGCACATTGTGTAAGAAACCACATAGCGAATTAATTTGTGATAAATCAGCAAATAAATAATGAGTCGAAAGAGAAAAACGATACTTTGGCATCTGTTACTGCTTCATGTGTTTCGAAACGAAAACAAAATGAAATGATCTATTTAAAAAATTCTTTAGCATATTGTATTTATGGTAATGTAAAGGAGTTGGTTAGAATTTTATATGACTCTGGTAGCCATTGCAGTTTTTTTAAACGCATATTTATAATGAGTTGAACCTCAGGACCATTAAAACTGAACGGTTGCAGGTTTTCGGTTTTGGAGAAAAAATTTCCAAGGGGTGTTCTTAAGATTTAGTGAAAGTGAATCTTCAGAACAAAATAGATAAAAATTAAATGTTTGCATTGAAGCATTCGTAGTAGAAAAAATAACGTGTGGGGAAATAGCCGCACCCCTTAAGAGAATTAAACAATTAGCAAAGAAAAAATTTTTTCTTTTGGATACCGGAGAAACAGTTGATATAGACATTTTGATCGGTGCCGATTTCCTACATGACGTAATCTTTGATATGTCTTTGAGGTTGGGAAAAGGACTCGTTGCAACCGATAGTTTATTTGGTTTCGTGGTTCAAGGGAAATTCATGAATAATTGCCAATTAAGTAAGATTGTAAATAATACTATAATATCTGATGTTGATTATTCTTTGTTTTGGAGCCTTGAACGACAAGGAATAAATACTATGAATGAAGAAAATGTTGAAAATAAAAGTGAATTGTTAGAAGGTTTTAATTCTGATTTGCATTTTGAAAATAATAGGTATAGTGTACAACTTCTCTGGAGACCTAATACAAAACATCTGTTAAATGATAACTTTGAACTGGCTTCAGAAAGGTTTGACAAATTAAAAAGGAGATTTAAAAATGATAAATCCTTGTTTGAAGAATATAAGAAAGTTATAAAAATTTACAAAAATGAAGGGATAATTGAGAAAGTTAAAAACACTGATCCCCAAACTTATAAACAATGTTATTTACCTCATAGGGCGGTTATAAGAAACGATAATGATTTGAATGCAGAAGAGCTCCGAAATGCTGAAGATATACAAGTAAAGCTTACTCCAGTAAAATACTTTGATAGTGAGATACGAGCTCTCCAATCTAGTTTGCCTATTCCAGCTTCTTCTACTATTTTCAATTTAGCTCCTTATCTTGATGAAAAAGGTATCCTGGGAATCACAGGAAGATTGGATGAAGGAGATTATTCTTATGATGAGAAAAAGTCTATAATCATACCAAGACAGTCTAAATTTGCAGAGTTGCTTGTCAAGCGAGAACACAAAAATGTATTTCATTCTGGAGTAGAGAGCACTCTAGTACAAATTCGGAGAAGACTTTGGGAACCTAAAGGAAGACAATTAGTAAAAAGGTTGTCTCGAAATGTTTTATTTGTCGCAGATACACAGCCAAATCTTCTACCCAAATGACTGGACAGCTTCCAAAAGATCGAATTAGTGAAACTCTTGCTTTTACTGTATCCGGAATTGATTTTGCCGAACCAATCTACATCAAGGGTGAAAATGAAATAAAGAAATCATCTATAGCCTTGTTCACATATGCAGTCTCGAGAGCAATACATCTTGAATTAGTCACAGACATGTCTACTTCGACTTTTCTGCTCGCATTCAGATTTCTCTCTAGAAGAGGTGGTTGTCATACAATTTACTCCAACAAAGCCAAGACTTTTAAATGTACCGATAAAGAGCTACAGAGATTATTTGATTAGAGATTATTGAAAAGAAGAGAACAAGTTATCTTTTTTATAAAAGCTATTTCTATTTACACTTATTAATTCAATAATTTATATTTGAGATCTGAAATTTCAACAGAGAATGGGAATTAAGATGTAGTGTTTGATATTAAAAAATAAACCAAATTGAACTGAAAAAACTAACAACTTACTTGATTAAAAACATGATTGAATGAAAAAAAATTTTATGTTAACATATTAATTCTAATTTATGTATCATAACTTATAAAAATTACTTGAAGAAAAAAATTTAATTATGATAAAAGCTAAATATTGAATATAGAAATAATTTTGCAATTTTTTTAATATATATTTAATAATATTTTTTGGATTGCTTTACTCTTTGATTGAAAAAACAAAACATTACACGCACTGGAACAAAAATGAGTGTTCCCAAAATTCCCTCTTCTAAATTTCTTACCTGCCAGTTAATTTGCATAATGGAATGTAAGCCAAAAATGCCATTTCAAAGGAAAAAGTGTCTCTCATTTCAAAAAATGCTTGCTCGTTAAATGGACCTGCAAGAAATAATTTATCTTTTTTCACAATAAATTTACTAATTATTTAAAGTATATTTGGTGTTTGTTCCCCAAATCAATGGAACAATAAAGATAACTTACAAGGCAGATTTTGTTAAATATAACGATATTACATGTTTTTAAAAGAACATAATTTCCTAACTGAAATATTATTTTCCATGCACAATTAATAAAACTGATTAAAAAATAGCATTCATTTGTTTAATTTTGAAACTATTAATAAGGGCAGTCACAGAAGGAAAATGTAAAAAATCAAATATAAGATAAAAAATTGGATATAAAATTTTTTTACTGAAACTTTGCTTGCAACAAATTATTTTTAATGGTAGATTAAAAGAGAGGAATATTTTTAAAAAAACAACAATATATTTAATAATTACGGAATGCACGAGTAAAGGGAAAAGGGTGAAAAGAGATTCAACTAAAAATTTTGTCTTCTTTATCATAAGCAAGCGATTTAATGTATTCAATGCAGAATTTTTTTTTGCAACATAGCTTTTATTTCATCTAACAAATATACATTTTTATGAACCAAAACATCACCAAACAATTTAAATACCGCTAGCCTTTGTTATTTTGTATTTTAAAAAAATTTTTATTAAAAAAAATTTCACACTAAATAATATTTGATCTAATGATCTGATTTTCATGTACTAAGAATCAGTTAGGCAAAGTTGACTCAGCCTTTCATCCCTTCAGTGGGTCGATAAATAAGTACCAAGTATGCTTGGGAACTAAACACTGGGGGTTTCGCGTTCGGCTGACCATCTGACCGGAACATCTGCTCCTGCACCCCAGAGCCCAAGAAAACTGAGATGGGTACAGTAGGCCTTGGCCCTCATGGGCTGTCACACCGCTGAGTTTAGTTTAGTTTAGATCAGTTTTCATGGTTTGAAGGGCACACTTCAAACATGCCATTGAACTGCAGAAAAATAATTGCATAGTTAGTTTTATCACCTACATCTAGGCTAATAAGTTTGTTAATATTTTTAAGAATGATTGCAGCTTTGCTATATAAGATAAAATAACATTCCATCCTAATATGATGGATTTTAGCTTTTCAAAATTTACTAATACAGAAAGAAACTCTATTATTCTAGAATCTTTTTCTTCACAAAAAATAACAAACAAAAAAAAACAAGCAGAATTGTTTACGTAATTTTTGATAAGAAATAAGCCGTTTTACACGTTCATTATAGCTATATTGAAAATATTGAGTACAATATTTCACTTTCTTGTTCATATTGAAGTTGAAAATGAGAGAATCATTTTCAATTATATTAAACTTTACTTGAAAGTTTAGTCTTACAAATGAATATTATAAGCAAAGGATTGATAATACAACATATAAAAGATAGGTAATTTTTAAGGAGATATACTGAGTCTTAATGCTTCTTGTTCATATACCATGTACCAGCAAACACTGAATATTTTACATGATTGGCTTTGTGTGCCTAGCAAATTTTTTAAATTTATTACGCAGCTGGGTCCAGGTACTCAGAAAAATTGGATTTATTTACACTGGGTACAATAGCATTTATGTAATTACACCTCTAAATAATATATGAGGGCAAAGTGACCCTCACAAAAAACTTTTTAAATGGAACTAACCTGTTGGTGCTACCACTTGAATTAACTGGAATATGAAATCCACAAAATCTCTCATAGTTAGTCTAACAGTAAAAGAACTCTAATCTGACCAAATGGAAATTGAATTAACTTATTGCATAATGTATAAGAAACATGTTTTTTTTGGATGAAATGTATTTTTAAGCTACAAATAGTTATCTTCATGTATACATGCTTAGGTTCAATAAAAGTGAATTAAGTTTAATCAAAACTATTATTGTTTTTATGAATCCTTTTATGCTTTTTATAAATATAATTAATTGTGCAAAGCACAAATGAGTGTTAACTAGCAAAATTGGTCAGAACTGAAACTCATTCTCCAGATCCAGATAGTAACCAAGTAATAGAAATTTGGCTGGCTACCAGGTAATTGCCCTGTACCTAATAAATCCCTATAATTAGTTTTTCAACTGAGATTGCTTCTATTATAAGCAAAGTTCAAACATTAAATAGATAAATTTTCAGGAAAAAAGAGCCTCACAATATATAATACAAAGTATAAAGTTTAATACATTTTACAATGCTACAAGGGAATTAATAATTTTGCAATTTTGTATCACAGACAACCCTCAAAATAAAAACATATCAGTATAATTTGATCAGATGAGATGTATGTAGATTGAGGTGAGAAGGATAATCTCTGTTAGAGTACTTATATTGCTTCCCTCAAATACTATTTTTAGGCATTCTTTAAAAAATGTTTTTTTTCTTTCTTTTGATTTAACGAAATAATAATATAGTAGATACTAAACTGTATAAAACAAAGGAACTAACTTAGCCTGTCTCTCATCATACAATTGTATTTGCTTACTAACACCAACAGTTTTATTTGAATGTACTAAAAGTAAATAATTTGACACTTTTATAAAAGTAGGATAATTTTAAAAAGAGGGAATAGAAATGAAAAAATAGATAAAGAAATAATAAATAAGCATAAGAAGATGAGGGAACAAACAACACATGCTCACCATTTTAAAAAATATCAAATATTTATAAAAAGTAAGATTTTGTATTTATTAACATTACAACAAAAAAACTGCAGTAACTTTAAAGGAATAATTATTCAGAAAATTATTTCTAAATGTAAAAGGAAAATAAGTACCCCCCCACCCCCTGTCGGAATAATTGTCAAATGTTTTCGTGTTTTTCTTCTTTGTTAAACCCAATTGTTATTTAGTTTCAATAAAAAAAAACATCAATAAAGGAAAGTTCGTAAAATAATTAGTTTTAGTATGGTGACCTTAATTGATAAATTAATAATATATTAGGAAATACATACCCGCTATATCGTCAAGTTCTTGCAATTCACCCTTTTCATTATAAACTTTATCAAAAGAAGAAAAAAACTTGTGAAATATACTAGAGAAGTGTTTTTTTGTCATTTCTGTTCCAATTCTCAAGGCAATGATGTATATGACATCCAAAATACGAAAAGTAACCATTGTTCTAGATTTTCCTCCCCCAGGATAAGTAAGTCTCAGTGATGATATAAGACGTAAAACCAAATGAACAATATCTTTGATTAGAAGTTCCTAAAATGTTTAAAAAGAAACTTTTTCAACTTTTGTCATTTGAGGAAGCACAGATAAAATATAGCATTTAAAATATACAGATATAATTATTTGATAAATTTTTAACCCTTAAAAATATGTGGCGTCAATGGCTTACTTAGAAAAGTGGTCAAAATTTCGGATTCTTTAATCTCTCTGTTACTCTTTGACTATGTAGTTCAAAAACCAGTTACTCACAAGAAAAATATAGTGCACAAATAACATTCTCTCTTATATCATCAGTAATCAATGACTATGTGGTACTACGCTTGAAAAAGTGCTTTGAACACGTAATAGAAATCTAAAGAAAAAAAATTTGTGATTTAAAGAAGAATAAAAACAATGCAGATGGCAAGAGAGATTCTTCATTATCATTAAGTGGGAAACACTAATGTGTAATGTTTTTGTCAAAAAATTACTTTTACACAGTGCCCAAAGTTAAAAAAAAAAACAACCAACTGAATAAATTTCTAATGTTTAGTCGAAGAAGTCTACATCAAGAAGAAGAATACATCAAGTAAGAATTTTGGTTTGCCACCATCTATACTTAAGGTAGGATGTTATTTGAAGTTGCTTGGCTAATTTGAAGCTTCCAGTTCTCTGGCTACTGGATTTTTTTGGAGATTAGTACTCAAATTCAAAATTAGAATGAATCCAAATTTCTGTTAACTGAAGTTTGTTGCAACGACTGACAAAACTGACTTAATATTCCTCAAAACTTTGATTTTGTGCTTCATGTGTAATTATTAATGTGATAAAAATATACCTGCAAATGATCCATTAGTGTCTGATCAGATATAAATGGTATTATGTGCTGCAATAAGGCCATTGCCCCATGCAATCCAGATTCAAGACTTGCAGGGATTTTCTTGCGGCATAGATTGAGCTACAGAGAAAATGAAATTATTATTAAAAGATTTGAAGGGAATGAATATTTACATCCTGATCAGCAAGAAAACAGACACAAAAATTTAGCTTTCAATTAGTTTTTTTTTACTTGAAACACAAAATCATGGTCTTAAATCTATATCCCATTATGTTAGATAAACTAGAGATAAGTTATAAATAAACTTTCACTATGGAATAAGCATAAACTAAGCTAAATTTATCTTCTGACAAATTGAAAATTTGAAAGGGAAACATTTGGCCCTCCCATTTAAGATTTTAAACTTGTATCTGAGTATTAAGACTTAATTCTTCATGAGTTTTTTGGATAATAAAAGTGGGAAAGTTTCTTAAATTCTTAATTTTTTCTAATTAAAAAATAAACAGTTGTATGCATTTATTTTTGTTTTAAATATGTTTTTTTTATCACAGTTTTCAATGTTTTACCTTTTCAAAATAACATATTTCATGTTTTTAAGTATAAAGTTATTTTTACCAACCTATAAAAATTTTATGCAATTAGTATAAAATACTTTTCTTTTGAGTTTGCAAATTTCTACTTTTTGGTTAACAAGTTTGATTTATTTTATGTCTAGTTATTTAAGTTTTGGCAGAACTATGAATGATTCCCTTTTTTAAAAGGATCATTGCCAGGTATGTTAAATAACTCATGTAACTGAAAAAAAAGTACAAGGATGCAGTAAGCTTTAAAAATATTTTCCCCGAACCTTCAAAATTTGCACTATCATATTCAAGAAGATGACTAAAAGACCAGTTCATTTATTTCATATCACATTAATTATCAGTTATACTTTTACTAAGGGTGAGGAGCCATAGCAAAATCTTATCCCAAAACCTAAAAACATGCACAGTAATTTGAATTTGGGAATTGCTGATTTAAAAAGAAAATAAAGATATCAAACAAAGCAGAATTGGAAAAAAGGATAAAAAGTTCTTACTAAATCAGCTATATGCTTCATATACTGAAGCATAATAAACTGTTCTCCATAAAGCGATGCTATACTAGATAAGCAGTCCAACACTTTAAAGGCATTTAAATCACCAGTTAACCATTTGCAACTAATACTCAACATCTTAGCTTCTGGAAATAAAATCATATACAATAAATAAATAAAAATATGCTGAACAAAAAAAATTAAATACTTTGTATTCTACCATGAGGGGGTATATCTAGAATCTCTCTTTTTTCTGAGCTGTCATAACATAGAGTTAACATTCGTAGTAAATTCCGAGTCAAATATCTAGCAGTGAGAACGGGACCTAATCTGTGAGCTAACCACAGCATGCTTTCAGCTGAAACATCAGATACATTTCTTTCTTCATTCATCATTGAAGGCCTTTCAACTCTCTCGTTGACCTAAAAAAACAAGTTATTTTTTTACAGAATAAGAAGATAAACTGTTACAAGCATACATAAAATATATACTGGTAGGGAGAAATGTTAATATGATCTAGAACTGTTTATCTGAATGCTGATTAACTGAATTGTCAAATTAATTTCATCAATCAAAACCCACAAGTTTTCCCCACTTTTTCCAGATATTTTTTTCTCACAGAAATCCATCTTGATTTCCAGATTCCCTGGAAGAAGTAAAAAAATTGCATTTGTGTCCTAGCATCCTTGGAAAAAAGGACATCTTCTTCACTCGTGTTTGTTATCCCTAGTTTCAACGAGAGGGTTGGTAGTAAAGAGAACCAGTTTCACAAATAAAGGAACAAGTTTCTTTTTTTTCTTCCAAAATTAGACAGGAAGAAACTTGTTTTCAGTTTCAAATTATTTTAAAGCACATTCTAGAGCACATATGCTACTTTTTTTTCTAAATTTTGTAAGTGTAAGAGGACTTTTCAAATATGTTTGAAAAGTACAAAATAGTCGCACAATCCTTACATTAAAAATTTGAGATTGTTAAAATATTGAAGAAAGACAGGAAAAGAAACAAAATAGCAACTGAATATGGTATTGGCAAAACAACTGTATAAGATACTAAAAAAATTTGATTTTAAACTTTGTATCAGTATTTAACAGGAAAAAGATGAAAAAGTCCAATTTTAAAGATATAGATCATGTTTCCAACATGGATGTTATTCCCCTCCAGTAGGCAGTAATGGCTTTTAATGGCACAGTTATAGGAATTTGAGCACTGTCACAATTATAGGAATTTAAGCAGTATTGCTTTTAGAAGGTAGTCAATAAATATAAATGAAATTAGTATCTAGTACATTTAAAAATTTAGAAATTTTTTGGTTGCTATTGAAGAATTATATAAATAACTCAGCATATAATATTTGTTATCAAAGCAGTTATTTTGTTAATGTTGTTTTCATTAAACAAAAAACGCTTTTTAAATATTGTAATAAACACTGCATATACTATAATAAAAATAGATAAATAAATGCGAGGAAAATACTGTAATACACACTTAACAATTATAATGTAAAATGGCTCCAAGATTTTAGCATCAATCCAACTTTTGTGACTCTGTGGTTTCCCTATATCACCATTCAAAAGTTAATACATTTTTTACTTTAATTGAAATTCATCTTTACTTATTTTTTAGAAAAAAAGAACAACATTTTTTATTTGAGAACTTCGAAGTATAAAATATCTAATTTTGACAAATTTTAAAAAGAAGTTTTGAATAATTTTTAAAATCATTCCTTAGCCTAGTTTCTGTGTTTTTCTTTTTTAACATTCAAAAGGAATATATTAAAACATAATTATTTTGGAATTTCCTATTGTTAATATATAATTTTCTAATTTAATTTTGAAATATGTTTCTCGGTACTAAATACGCACAATTACTTGTAGGTTTAACTGATTACATTCATACACAACATCACTTATTTCACATTTTTTTAATGTTAAAGTAATATTATATTTAGTTTAAAGACTCAACCCAATAATTTAAGCATGGAGGTCACAAGAAATAAAGCAACATACCTGAGTAAAGGCTGAAAAGCTGGACTAAATATTTTATTATAGATAAGAGATTATATTAAGGACAACACTGCTGCCATCTATGTACAACAATATAAACTAACTCTTTCAACACTCCCACTTTAGTTTACATTTTTGGGAATACTAAAAAAAATCACAAATGTGCAAAAAAAATATGATTTTAGTCCCATTGATTTTTCACAATGTTCATGCTCAGTTCTATTAACAGTTTTTTGTTAAATAGACCGTAATCATTTTTATCATATTCACTCCTACTGTCCGAAGCAATCCTTCTCCTTTTTGGTGTGTTTTCTTCTTCACTTTGACTATTGTCAGATGCAATTCTCCTCTTTTTAGGTTCACTATCTGAAGCAATTTATTCTGTTCTTGGTTGGCCTGTCTTCATCACTCTGACTGCCATCACTTGCACTTGCTTCTTTTCTTCCTTTATATTTTGCATTACCACTGTCAGAATCTTTATTTCCACTACCAGAAGCAATTTACCTCTTTTTAGGCCCACTATCTTCATCACTCTGACTAATATCGCTAACACTTACTTTCCTTTTTCTTTTAGACTTTTCTTTTCCACTGTCAGACTCCTCACTTGATGAAATAGTTGCTTTTGAAACAATTTTGCTCCTTTGCTTGGCAGTAAGTCCATCTTTATTCTGTTTCTTTTGCTTGGATTCTTCTATCTTTCTTAAGTTTTTGTCTCTTACCACATTTTCCTCCCTCATCATCAGTTTCACGGTAATCTCGTGGCACACCTCTTCTCTGACAGAGCCTGAAGCCTTTGCTTCTTCATCTGATTGTTCTTTATTAGAACGTTTATCATCTGATTGTGCCTTGTTGGAACCACTTTTATTGTTCTATTATAATCCCTAAACAATAATTTAAATCTTTCTTTTCAAATCTTTTACTCAGTTGCCCATATAGCACTCATCTTCCGAAACCTTTCCCTAGGACCTCCCAAATGCATCCCTTTCTTCCGAGGGAAGGCGCGGATAAATAGGGGAAAGCAGAGGGAAATTCCATTCTAACATTCCTACGGATAACGATACGTAGGAAGTCCATCGGAAACATCGCCTACGGATATTCCTCCACCGGTCATCCGTTAGAAATCAATCCAATGGATTTTTCTCCCTGGTTATTCCGTAGGAGCATCNCCCATTTAAATTTTGTTCGTAATATTCACTAAACCCATCTGGAATTTTCATGTATACTTCTTCATTTAGTGTCCCTTGAACAAACCATAAAAGCATTCATTTGATCGATTTCCCAATCATAAATAGCTGCATAAGCCAACAAAACTCTTAATGTTACATACCAAACTACTGGAGAAAACGTTTCTGTATAATCTATTCCTTCGATCTGGGAGAAACCTTTAGTTATTAAACGCGTTTTGTACCTTTCAATATCTCCATTATCATGATGTTTTATTGTGAATACCCATTTGCAATCAACAATGTTTTTATTTTTAGGCTTATTTACTATGTCTCAAGTTTTGTTTTTAATGTGGCCCGCTATTGTTTCACACAAAGATTCTTTCCAACGCCTAGCATTACTACCATTGAGTGCCTCATCAATAGTATTAGGTTCAGAAAGAAGTTCATTTATTGCCACTAAGGCATCGGCAAAGCAAATAGGATCTAAGTTTGGCATTTGCAAATCTGGTATACCATTGGTATTAAAATTTTGATAACGATCAGGAAGTTTAACTGTTCTTCCCATAGGTGTCAATTTTGGCATGTCATTATCTACAGTTATATTATTACTCTTATCAGTATTTACAAAATCGCGTCTATTTAAGCCATTAATGTCATCCTGACCTGTGTTAATATCATTTTGGAAATTTAATTCATTATCACCCCTGCTAACATTATTATCATTTCGGAGTTTATCTGATGTGTTGTCAAAATCAACAATGCTCCCACTGAATAAAGAGTCATCACTGCAGTCTGGTGAGCTTTTGTCACTGTTATAGCCATGATACATATAATGTTTCAAAAAGCCCATTTTGGGCTACAACAATATTATAATTAATTAGATCAATTAGACGATAGCCCTTCCTATACTTACAATACCCAACAAACATTAACTCTCTAGCTTTCACATCCCATTTTTAACACTTCTGTTTGGAAATATGAACAAAAGCCCGACACCCAAACACCCTTAAGTATTTCAAGTTTGGCTTTTCACCACTCGATTTCTCAAAAGGTGTCATGCCTGATACTGCAATGGTTGGAGATATATTTTTACAATGAGCTGCTGTTTCAACTGCTTCAGCCCAATATTCCTGGCCAATGTGGGCATTCACCAACATAGACCGAGCACACTCAATGAGTGTTCTGTAACCCCCATTTGCTCCGGTGCATAAGGGATAGACTTTTGATGCTGAATCCCTTTGGAAGCTAGAAAACTATCCATCTCATTTTTAATATACTCCGTCCCATTATCAGAACGTAAAACCTTAATAGGTTTGCCAGTTTGTCTTTCTACATATGCCTGAAAGTCTTTGAATTTTCCAAGAACTTCGAATTTATTCTTTATAAAATAAACAAAATTCATTCGTGACAAATCATCTATGAAACTTATGAAGTACCGAGAACCCCCAATTGATGAAACACTCATGGGTCCACAGAGGTCACGATGCACTAAGCCTAACAATTCTTTTGCTCATTTAGCCTTACCCTTAGGTGAGGCTAAGCTTAAGCGAAGTTCAAGCTTAGGTCAGGGTCAAGCTTCGCTTACCCTTAGGAAGGCTAAACGAGCCTAAACTTATTTTATTCACTTTGATGTTTTAAGCACTTTTAATTTTTATTCTGTTTTTTTTTTTTTTTTTAAATTTGTTTTTTCGATTTTCGGATTTTCCTATGTGTATCAATCTTTTTAGTTTCTGATTTTACTTTTTTGTAGTTTTGTAGTGTTTAGTTCACGTGACAAAGGGTGAAACCCTTATCCGCAAACTCCTTAGGGGGTAGGTCGGTTACTATTGGTCTTACCATGTTTACCCTTAGGAAATGGTTGTTTATGCATTTTACTTTTAATGCATGGTATACAATCATTAATTTCCCCATTAAAAGAGAAACCCTCAACCATATCTTGCAATATAACCATCTCTCCTTCACTTAAATGACCCATTTTCTTATGCAACATTTCATTTGATGAGTTTTGAGCAGTAATTAAAGCCATATCATTATGAATATCTAAAGAATATAATCTATCGCTTACACCTGTTCCACTAGCTACTAAATTATCACCCTGATAAACAAAACATCTTTCCCATGTAAAGGTAGTAATCATCCCAAAAGTTTTGTTTAAATACTTAATAGATAGCAAGTTAGCAGTTAGCTTTGGAACATGCAATACATTATTAAAAGTTACTTTTGCTTTCTGCCCATTTCTAGATAAAAGAAAAC